TTGCTCCGATCCCATTGATAAGGAGTGGGACTGAATAACTCGATAGGGGTAGTTGCTTTGATGTGGAAGCACAACAACGCATTTATTATCTTACTAATATTGTCTTTTACCATATCTTACTAGAGATTGGAAAAAATTCATTTCGTTCATCGAAAATGGAATCAACCCCCACTGCGTATTGGTACCTATCGGTGTTAGAATAGATCCGCTTCTCTTTGTTCCTACAAACCGAACTGTTCCTAAATTCTCTAGCTATATTTTATTCCTAAGAATGCTACAATATTCATTGCAAATATGAATTTTCTAGAAGTTGTACAGCACTGCAACTTGAAATATCTGGCCCACTTATCAATTCAATCATTGGATCAATTGTCATATGAGAAGCCAATAATTATGAATATGGCTGCAAAACCATGATAGGAATCTTCTCATCTTTGATTCCAAAAGTAACACCACTAAAGAAGATTCTACCAATTATCTGATGCCGGGATCTCTAAGTTATATATATTCTAATAGATACTAAATAAGATTAAGTCAAGTTGTAGACTTAGCTTAAATTTTAGTTCTAGGGATACTATAGATCTCTATTATTTTATTCGGTACATTAGTAGCTTCAATCTTAACACAAGCAAATTACTATCTTAACAATAATCTTGATTTATTTATCCTAGAATCTCTAGAATTCTGAGAGTAACCAACCCATTGTCATGACTTATCGAAGTAAGATCCTAACACTAACATTCTTGCTTGTTAGTTAATAAATACCACATCATGAAAGGATTAAGATGAAAAATTGAGAACTTCACCTGCTTTTCGGGATATTTTGGTGCAGATATTAAAGAAACAGTTTCCATGTGGCCAAAATCTACATCATAACCAAGCATATGTATGTACAGCATCTTCCAAACATACTTCTTCTTTTCGTAAGGTGTCAATCCCTGCCAAATCAACAAACTTAGCATTTAGTTTTTGCAATGACTAGCAAAATCTCAAAGAACACTGGTGAATGACAATGTCCCATGAGCTAATCGACCTAAAGTTCAAAAAATCCTATATGCCGAGTATAAATATTGTTGATAAGGAACATGATGTCAAATTGAGAAGCGCAGAAAATGATCTCTCCAAAGTACATGCCCATCACCTTACTTTCATGCCAATGCTTGTTACAATTGTAAGATGAAATCTACATGAAAAGACAGATAACCTAAAATCTGACTAGAATATCCAATCTTCATGAAAGTGACATTGGTACGGAGCAAGAACCCCCAAAAGTGCAATTGAACATCGATAGAACAACAGGCCTGAATTTGGATAAAGAAAGTAAACTCTCAATTTCTGTTGCTCCATACTCTTGAAAAAATAAAGCAGAAAAAAGAAAGAAGTACACAGGATGATTAGGAGATTACTTTCCTTTCCTTTTCTCCAAGCAGAAAAATCATCAATATCTCCTCTCACCCTCATATTGATGGGAACAGCAGGAGAAAAACCGACTCTGAGTAGTGTGATTTAGTAAATGTGTCTCTTATCCGTGTGCCATAAGTGTGATGTAAAATCTTGTCAGAAAGAGAGCATATATCAGACAAAGTGTTCCATCTCTTCAGAAAATTAGACAAAGGAAGAGATTGTTTAGCAAATTCTGAAGAGAGCTACTCTCTAGGGAAATGCTGCATTTCGGGTTGTAAAAGATCCATAGAAGAGAACTAACTATAGGACATTGAAATGGATTCCCCAATCCTCACTGTTCCCCAATTAAATGTCCCCCACAAGTATTTGTCTAGGATTTGTACAACACTCCAAGAGCAAATGAGCTCAAAATATTGTGATTTAGTAAATGTGTCTCTCATCCGTGTGCCATAAGGGTGATGTAAAATCTTGTCAGAAAGAGAGCATTCATCAGACAAAGTCTTCCATCTCTTAAGAAAATTAGACAAAGGAAGAGAATGTCTAGCAAATTCAGAAGAGAGCTACTCTCCAGGGCAATGATACATTTCGTGTTGTAAGAGATCTTTAGAAGAAAACTGAGTATAGGACATTGCAATGGATTTCCCAATCTTCACTGATCCCCAATTAAATGCCCTCCACAAGTACTTGTCTAGGATTTGTACAGCACTCCAAGAGCAAAAGAGCTCAAAATGTCTCCCAATCCTAACCAAATACTTTTAGCAACAACAAGAATAATTAAAGTTCTGTCTCATGACCAACAAACAGAGATAAGAATGCATAAACTTTGTCCCCCTCAGTACGCACACAAAAGAAAATTATGATGGGAAAATCAGTGTCCACCATCTGTATACACCCCAAAATCAGAGTTATCAAAACTCAGAAAAGCTTAAGATTCCACTTATTTTGATCCATTCCAATTTCGCTTCTAGAAGTCTCCTCAAGTATGATCTTTTTTTTTTTTTATAATCATAAACACCCTAGCTACTTTGTCAGAACTACTAAAGGAACAGCTGATTTGCTCCTTAAGTTCCCTTAGTTCTACGGAATTCATATAGTTGAAAAATTATTCAACCTTCAAGGTATCTTCTCCTAGATTTTTTTGAACTTCATCATTCTATAGTAATCTATACTCATCAAGAGCACCCTTGATCAGGTTTCAAGCTATTCTTAGCTACTCATCACAAGCTTTTGGTTGCGCTGACTTTGGAATCTGCTAAGCCCAAGCAGCATTGCCTCGCAGCAAAGGAGCTTCTGACAAAATCAGAGCCGCCGATTGTACCGTAAACACCACATGAAACTTGATTTTGCATGAGTAAATAAAAGCTAAAGAACCTAATACTCTAATACCAACATTATTCGCATTCTTTGAGCGGAGTACTCGGGTAATATAGTACAAATGTAACCACGTGGCCGAGCTAGCACTATTGGGGTATCCATGCTCCTCAGGCCACAAACACCATTCAATTGCCAGGACCGGATGAGATCACAACATTATGGACCGGGTTCGATCCAGCATCCAGTTTAAAAGCCATGCTCCACCTTTCCCCCATTTAACCCAAGAGTAGAACAAGCAATCAAAACAGAGCTTCCGGCACATAGTTTACCGCCAGGAATCCGAAATCACCTTTGCAATCAGCCAAGCCAAAATAAACTACACAGCTTGAGGTCACCCGGGATCAAGGACTAAGCAGCATTAACAGCTCACAACATCTCACACGAACACAAGCATCGACGAAACCTCTCTCGAAAGCACGGGGTCAACCCCAACCGCCGCGCGACACCGAGAATTCCCCTCGTTTCCCCCCACCCCGGTCGACGCGGAAATTCCGACCGGGCGCGCCGAGCACCAACCCACTAGCAGCATCGTCAGTGGGGAAGGGGAAGGGAGGAAACCCTAACCTTTTCGTTCTTGAAGCGGGTGCGAACGTTGCCGAGCTCCTTGTCGACGCGGAGCCGCTCCTGCTCCTTGTTCTGGCAATTGCGGATGTCGCTGATGAACACCGAGAGACCTCTCATGCCCGATAACGCCATCCCTTCCCGCAGATCCAACAAGCAGCAGCAGCAGCTGCAGCTTCAAATCATAAACACGCGCGCACAGCAACCTCCGAGCACCGATGAATCCCCCTCTTCCTCCTCCTCCCCCTCCTCCTCCTCCTCTCGTTCCGGCGGCGGATCCCTAGATCTCGGCGACGAGCACCGGAATCAGGATCTTAGCACGCCATTGCGGGGATTCCAGCTTCGACGCGGAGAGATCCACGAGATGGCCGACGCTTGATCTAGAGAGAGAGAGAGAGAGAGAGAGAGGGAGATGGAGATGGAGCTGAAATTCGTGTTCGTTTTTTTGTTTTTTTTTTCTCTAGGGAGAGAGAAAGGGGTGGACTGAGGAAAATTGGAACGGCCGACGGGGGGGAGTGCAGGAGACGACTTTTAAAATCCTTTTTTTTAATTTTCACCGATTTTATTGACCCCATTTTCCCTTTTTTTTTTAATAACGACCGTCGTCCCGTCTTTCTTTTTTTTTCTTTTTTGCGTTCTTTCATTTTCCACCTAATGCTTCTGCTATGCCAGCTCTATATTTTCATTTTTTTTTAATTCCCTAATTTTTTTTCCTAATTATTATTGTCGCTTTTCTTTTCCGGTGTGGGGTTGTCCTACAAAAGCATTTGCCACATTCATAATTGCATAAGATTCGATCATATTCTCTTCTCCTTTTCCCTTGGAGAAAAGAAACATGCAACCTCCGTACGGATTCCCGATGCTTCTCCTGTAGGCAGTGGCAAGAACGACGCCGGATTGGGCCATGTGTTTAGTGAAATGAGATGCGTGCGCGCTAACCAATTCAGTCAATGCCCTTCGCGAATTCAATTTGCCGTCTCTTTCCTTTGTCCTGAAACAGTCAAAATTGGTATGCAACATTGAAATCTTTATCGGCATTTCTCCTTCGGACTAAATAAGAAGCGATGAGAAATTATTGAAATTGGCTTTTCGAGAAGGATCGAAGTTTCCGTCGGGCGCGAAAGGTCAATGGGGACGAATCCGCCATCTTCGTAGGCACCAATGGAGGAGAAGAAGAAGAAGAAGAAAGACGATGTAGGCTTTCACACCAATCGGAAACAGTCCCCGGTCCATCGTGAATCGAGCCGAGCCGATCGCCATTCGACGGTCAAAGGGTCTCATGACAAATCAGGGAGTGTGCTTTTGAAAGTGCTGCTCTATGCCTAAACCGAATCCATCAAGAAGACGAGCGCTTGTTTCGCCATCTCCACTAGTTCCCATGACATGTCGAGTTGCCATGCTTTTGCCATGGCCTAGAGCTAGCAATCTACCCTTTTTCTTTCGTACTGATCCACTGAAAAAGCAGAACACATACGGCTTGCACCGTCCTGAAGGGTCCACTTCATGGTATGTTTCGACTCATGAGCAAAAGAGCGACTGAAATGCATAACCCAATGGCCTTCGAAGTGGCCTGCTCAACATCTAAATGAAGAGAGATGGGCGGTCATGCGTTTGGTCCGGTTTTTTTTCGCCCTGTAAAGACGATCTGAAGGATAGAAGCGTGCACATCATTCAGGAGTTTGTATCTGTGTAATGTCCAATCTTGAAGCTCTGTTCACAATCTATAGTTCCGCACATGAACTGTACATGTATAACACCATGATTACAGAAGGTACAAAAAGAAGGCGGCAACGTAGAGATACACCTATCCCATGACCAGACAATGAAAAATATACAGATGCTCGATCGTGAGACCTGCATCGAGCTTATCAGTGACCACCCAGCATCTACATCTTTGAAACCAAGCATTGCACGTATGCTGGAATTGGGGGGTCATCTACCGAATTAAGTGTGATCCTCTATTCATTGCTGTAAAAATGACTAGAAAGTCGAGCCAAGGAAAAAGATAGTATGCGGAGGAGCCTCCAGAAGCCTCCAATCTTGACTGTGGCTCCTCCTCATACTGTCTTCCTAGATCAATATCAATATCCGGTATCTCAAAAGACCAAAACCTTTTCCAGATCAATTTTCAGACTAATGAGAAACTCTTTCGGTGTCTGGAATGACGAGAAGGCCGTGCATGCTCGACCGACTTTCTTGGAGCGGGGCCACTGCTTTCAGCATGATCTGGTTGTGCGTCCGAAGGTCGTGGAAGAAGCTTGCATCCTATTTTCCTGGCAACCAAGCGAGGTGAACTGAGAGAGCTATGTGATTTGGCCACCCTTCTCATCTCTTGTTTTATCTTACTGAATTCTTCTTCGAGTTCCCCCACCCTAGACCTCATTTTCTCCATATCGACTTTAAGGACCTGGTTCTCGCGCACTACTGCCACCCATCCATCTCTCTGCACAATTTGTCCTGCCATGTTGGTCGGAGCAGACACCGGACCCACTGCTGCACTTTCAGTATCTAAGACATTAAGGCAACCAGCCAAAGCTGTTCGCAGTTGCATCTGCTCAAAGAACAAAACTTGTAGAACGACTCTCAGTGGCAACCTTTCATTTTGGGAAGCATGGGCACAGGCGTCAATGGACAGTCTCTGGTAATCAATGATGTTGCAAAGTTCTTCCTTGTCCTTGTCTGAGAGCCACGGATGTGCCTGCACATTGATATTGGTCATCATAAGCATCCAAAGCAACCAAAGACATCTCCTTACTATAGTAATTGATGTAGAATTTATACCTTGAGATAGATATCCACAGCTCTATATAGTCCATCATGCAAAACTCTTGAAGTGTCGGGAAGAGCTTCAGCAATAGAACAAATTTTATGAGGCTTCAGATTTACATCAGAAGCTACTTCAGCAATATAAGCATCTATCAACTTTGCGACTTTGGTTGAAGGTCCTGCAGAGGGAGATGTTTCCAGCTCAAATGATGCGGGAGAAAATGATGAGGCCTTCGATTCAAGAGAAACAAAATAATGGACAATCCGCTCAATACAGTCAGTATCATACAAAGTGTCGGAATCCGAGTATGTAGGTATCAGAAGACTGTCTAGGGTAGCCAACTCCAATTGCACCCCTATTCTCCTCTCCAATGCATCCCTGCACGTATGATTGACATCCAAGATGAACGCAACCCGAAGGAGCCCCAATAAGAAGCGACAAAAAGATCTCCCCTTCTTTTCAGGGAGAAGATTAACAATGCTTTCAAGTAGAACCCTTTGATCGACAATGACAGGTGTCAAGCTAAAACTAGCAACTGTTCTGGTTTTGCCACTTTGCGCTCCTTGCCATCTGCCCAGACCAGGCAGGTATTTTCTAGCATAGTGCATAATAGCACCAGCCAGATTCTCGGACCTAACACCTCTTGATTCCATTGTCCTAATAAGCCTCTCAAACACCCCCACACTTAGATATGATATGTCTTCAAACCACCAGTCAGATTCTGAACTTCGAATTCTCGCTCCTGTGTTTATCCCATTCCATAAAATGCTGCCACCAGGGCTTTGTAAGCTTCCATACATCATCATGGGCCATCCAAACAAGCTTGGGTCGGTACAAACCATCGTGGACAGTGTATTCAAGCATTTGCTAAGTATCTGTAGTTTTTCGGCATAGGTTATGACAGCTTCGGAACTTTGGAGAGCCAGTATACAATCCTTCCAGTTACGAAGCACATTCTTGTGTAAATAACTTTCTGACTTGGAAAGCAAGTTACCTTCTCCATATGCATCTGTCATTTCAAGAAAGTCTGCTGCACAGTAGACTGTCGCAATGTTCCTAGGAGTTAATTCCACACGAACACCGTAACAAAACTTGGCAGCGACAAGAAAAGAATCAGGGCCACCAGGAAAATCGTCCAGCTCTAGTGTGAAAGTCCTGTCTTCGCTGCTCGAAGATTCTTCACATTTATCTGCTATCTTCCCGCATTTTGACACGAGAGGGAACTGGAAAGTCAAACCCAGATTTTTCTATTAGGTTAAAAACAGAAAGTCTTTTGGTTGTGCCGCATGGACTTAGTATTAGCTAATTGAGGCTTTCACTCAGCTCTACTCATACCATATAATGAAAATCATCCTAGTTATTAAACACCAGGCGATGCCACTATTTGAACATTAACTACGAGTTTGCGATAGTAACCTCGTACTGAGTCGAAATGACCTTGTAGCAAGTCAAAATCATGAAAAAATTTCCTTTCAAAAGATAATATATCATGGCAAATCAAAAGGGTAACAAAAGGAGCATTTGGAAAAGGCTGGGGGCATACCTTGTGAAGATGAAAGTTGATGCTTTCCACAATGATTGTGATGTCACTCGGCAAAGCCGCAGTGCAAAACCTGCCATAACCATGAAACAACCGATGTTGAATACCGTGCAACCTAAAGTAACACCCAGAACAACAAAAGCAATCTTCGTCTTCGAAATTTCCAGACGACCAGAGGAACAGAACCAAAGCATATTGGACACAATTTGTGAGATCAACAGGCGATCGCAATAGGACGATACGACTTATCCAAGCAGAGAACAGACAGAACTGACGCACGTTCAAAATCCTCAAACCATCGCAGCAATTTATAAAACCCAGGAATCAAATTCATACAATTTCCTCCACGATCGAAAATAAACCAAGAACAAGCACGAGCACGAGAGAGAGAGAGAGAGAGAGAGAGAGAGAGAGAGAGAGAGAGAGAGAGAGAGAGAGAGTACCAGTGATTGCCTTCGCGATGGAACCCATAGACCTTGCCTGCAGGAGCCATCACCAAGCATGAGAGGAACCCACGATCACCCCTCTTCTTCCTAGTCCAATAACGAGTCAAACCCACCTCAGCTTCCACGAGAGAGAGCTGAAATTATTGCTTCACTCTCAACGTAGCAAGCCAACAGACGTACCACACAAGCGCCTATCCCTTTCTCTCTCTCTCACCGCGTCAATTGTGGTCGTCAGGAGGGCAACCAAAACAAGAGTGGGTCTTTACAACTCAGGAAAGGAAAACCCCACATCCCACCACCAACCAGCATGGACCCTTCTTCGGATATTATACTAACACGCTCGTCGATTCTTGGGTGTTCTCTCTGTGCGTGCGTGCGTGCGTTGGTGAGCGAGCGAGCGAGCGAGCGAGCACGGATCACAAGACGACCGAACCCGCGGAGTTACCTCAAACGCTTAAAAAAGGCAAAGAAGAAAAGCGGAAGTGAAAATGAGTAAAGCAGATTCTCTGTTTCCGGGGTTGTGGGTCGGGGGGAACGAAGTAATTGAGAAGACAACAAAGGATATTACTTTAAAAAGGTTGCGACCACAGTGGTGGGTCGTCGGCTGACGGTGGTGGTGCTGCTGCTGCTGGAAGCCGGCCGGAGATTGGGGGAGAAAGAGAGAAAGAGGAGGTTGTAAAATGATGGTTTGTCTCACGCTTTTTGTCGAGCAGGTTGGGTGCAATCATCAATGACGCGTGGATCCGAGGTGAATGATGACCGGTCGAAAGGAAGGTTTGCGAAAAACAAATCGAATTGTTTAAAAAAATTATTGAGCTTTGCGCTTTCGCTTCCCTCCCTTTTGTTTAACGAGAAACCAATCATTTAAAAAAAAACATTTTTCCTAATCAAATTTTACACACGCATTCTTATTGATCGAGTAAAAAAGTTCGATAGCTACTAGTAAAGTAGCTACTTGAGTTGGTAGCGTGCTGCTCGAGTAAACATTAGTAAAATTTGAATTTGAATCTGAGCTGGTAACCGATCAAAAAGAAAATCTAAGCTCGGAAGATTTTTAAATATGCACAATATTTTCATATCTATAATAAACTAATAAAACCTCAATCGGAAACTGGTAATTTATTGAACTAAATATCGTTAAATCTAAATGTAAATGAATAATATATCGACGTGTAACCAGTTAAATAGTTTGTCGATCGTCGAATATTTTATTTACCAATAGTCTTTTACTATCATGTCCTAAATATTATCAAGTAGTATTGCGGCAATAGCTCTTATATATTCCGGACACGGGATTGGACCCTTCTTTTGGGTCGATTTTGTCTGAAAATGGACAAACAGCGAACTTAAAGATGGCTTTTGAGTTTTGACTGACCAACGTAGGAATAATGCCTCCTAGAACGAACAGAAAAGAAAGTAAAGACCGATGACGCGATACCATCAATGACTTGTTCAAATGCCGATGGTGCTCGACAGTTGGACGAGAAGCTATAACCGTAAGCGACCCTTGAATGCTACGTCAAATGGTCTTTAAGAATTAAGAATCATTAGTGTTCGGTCAGAATGTTTCATGGACTTTGATTTTGATTATTTTAATTTTGCTTACTGTTGAAATATCGTCGGCCCCCACCCTCCTAGCGGTCCCGATGATATAGAATTTCTATTGGCCAAGAAGAACCCCGATGAAAATCTTCGTACTGGCTTTAACGTATGTGTGTATAAATAAAAGAAATGGCTCAGATGGGACAATCTTTTATAGGTCGTCCATATCCATTGGCAAAAATCATACATTACTGCAAGAAGGATTCGTTTGTTTTGCGAAAATATAAAATATTTTCTTAAAAATAATGTCTACGTTGCTTGCAGTAATTAGTTAACAAAAAAATATTTTCAATATCAATATCAATTTATGTCTAAGCATTTTCTTAAACGATGAAATTTCTTTTCATTTATTCATTTTTATAAGCGATACAAGCGAGTATTCAAGGAGACTGTTTTCTAAATCATTTCTTTCGCATTTTTCATTTGGAAAATCGATTCAACTTTTGAAGGCCATCTGTATGGCTAAATTGAAATATCATTCATTAATCTACATTAAAGATAAGACACAATAACCTTAATTTAACTATAATTTTGGAGAACAAGCATGTTATCAGAACAGTTTATTGCAATTTCGAATATTAAAGAGGCTCACAGGCTATAAGTTATAAATACCAATAAAAAATCACAAAAAAAAATTAAAGGGTTAAGAGTGAGACGGTGTACAACAAGCTTTTGAAGATAAATAGGAATTGCGACCAATCCCCTGGAACAGGAAGACCCAAAACGCTCGGTCTTTGTGCGGTGCGTAGCTGAAAGCTCTATTACTGAATTACAGAAGGAAAAAATCCCTAAAAGGATCTAAGTTATGACCAGAATATCATATCCCGACGATCCATGGACTACGACTACCGACACCACAAAGGCCAAAAAGTATCTTAATGTATAAAGAGTATCGTCTATTTAAATATGTTTAATCTCCATGAAAGAATCATAGGACCTGTAACAGCGGCACTCTCCGGTGTAAACCGACACCGAGCCAGAAAATCTGATCGCTCGGCCTTTGCTTTTCGCTAAGTAGATCCTGTAGCTCAGCTTGTGGCAACGGGTTTTGACATGGCCTTCTTGATAGCCTCAGCATACGTCCTGTGTTGATAGGTGAGGGTCGATTCGAGCAAGTCCCATAGTGATGTCTTGGGATTCCAACCTAGCACGAGTACGTGTCATAGATTGTCAGAACACTCGTGAGCTAAAAGCAATTGCTCAGTTGGATCATCTAGGAGAGGTTAACACGTCGGGCCAAATTACCTAGTTGCCTATTGATGATGGTCATGTCCGGGATTCTCTTATCACTATCATCGTATCCCTCTCCATAAAACTCCTTGGAGCTGACATCAATTGTCGGTACTTCCAGAGGTGGCTCGTCACTAACCTTAGAGTAAACCTGGAAGCGTGGAAGAGTGGACAATTCTTGAATATGGGTGCGACAGATGCAAAAGCATTGGCTTGTATTTCTATCTAAAGACAACAAAATACAAAGCAAACCATGACAATTTACCTGAGTCATCATCTCAGCCAGCTGCCTAACTGTGACTTCGTTGTTGGGGTTGCCAACATTGAAAATGTGGCCATTGGCTCTCGCTGGATTTTCCTGAGAAAAAAAAATCACCGTCTCCAGTCACACACGAATGCCCAAAAGAAAAAATGCAGTCGACAAATTGAGTTTAACTCACAATCATCAAAAGAACAGCTTCAATGGCATCCTTGATGAAAATGAATGTTCTCTGGGACTGACCACCATCGACAAGCTTAAGTTGCTGACGGCGAAGCAGAGCCTGAAATAGGTCAAAGCAAGGACAGATGACGATGGTGGAAAGAGAAAAAAAATCATGATACAATTCACTCCATTAAACATTCTCACATTACTAAAGCATGCAAGAACCCTGGGAACACCCTCACTTGGACCATCGATGCCAGGAATGAAGTCCATTCTAGGTCCAATCCAGTTAAATGGTCTGACTATAGTAAACTCGAGACCATTTTCTGCACCCTCAGCTGTGAAAAGCAAGAGGAAAAGAGTTAGAGAAACTGCACTAATAACCAAAGTTGAAGTAACCAGAGATCACAATGAACACAGATCACCATATATCAGCCTTTCAATCAGTTGCTTTGCGCATGCATATGACCACCTCTGCTTTTCAATTGAACCAAATATGCAAGGGGAGGCATCTTCTGAAAGCATGTAATATGCAGGGTCCTGACAAACCAAAGCACTTGGAGATGTTAAACTCAAGCACCGCAAGTCAACACAGACAGAAGACGCATCAGAAAACTTCAAAGTAGTCAATGTTGTTATTGTGAGCAAACATCTAAGACTAGAAGGAGCCGCGAGTGTACGTATTTCTGGTGCAAATGCTCAACCATGACTTAGCCATCATACGAACACTGCGTATAACATCTGCATTAAGCAGCCAGAGAAACCCGAGCAATCAACGATGTCGATTTAGCAAATATAAACAGACAGGCTTCCTACCTAATTCTTAAACTAATCATGTTGGAATGATGTAATTTCTAAGGCCTAATTGTTCGAGTTGAAAGTAAAAGTAAAAAGTAATTTTTTGCTTTTCTGTCAATATTGATGAAAGAACTTTATGTGAATCTGCGTGTAAACATTTTTATTTTGTGAAAGTTTCAACCATGTTGAATTTAGAAAAAGTCAAAGTGAGTCCCCACAAAATTTTAATTAAGCAAAAAGTAAAAAATCAAAGTAAATCCAAATAGACCTTGGCTTTTTGCTTAAACTTTAGACTTCGGCGTTCGGGATTTCACTTTATTTTAATCTTGATCGTCTCAAATCTCAAGAGATATATAAATATGATCATTCAATGCCACGTGAAATTTTAATTGCTGCACTTAGAAGTACCCAGGTAAGTCAGCAACCGCAATATAAGAGTTCCCCCTTAATTATGGGGGAAGCCTCATCATCAGCTAACAGCATATTCAAAGAACCAATCAAATCAACCGTAATATTGAAGATGGACAAACCTCAAGACATCAATGAAGACAGATCTCTTTAATCAAAGCAAGCAGTCCATTTGTGTCATCGTTTAATACAGGTAAGAACAGAAAAAACTTCTGTCTGCCTAGCCAGATGCTGAATACACTTTTTCGTGTTACTTAACCAATATACAAAAAGCTGACTTTGATATATCACTCCAAATCACATTAACAGTGTACCTAATGCAGATGCCAGCTATGTTTAGGTGGACATATGAAACGGCCGATTTATCCCAATGCACTAGCACAAACCACTGCACAGACCGCAAAGGCTCCTCTTAATTTATTGTGTGACATGCAAGACTGCTTCGTGGACCTAATAAACCATTTCTGTAGTTACACAAACGTAATTTCATATCTTACATCGCGGTGATCTAGAATTATCTCAAGAAAGGAGATTCTAGATCAAAACTAGTTCAAGTGTAGCCAAGTGCACGGTCAAACAACACAAGACAAGACATGTCTGTTGAGACTTCGTCCGCGACAAAATCTGCATCAGATGTCAACATCGACCAATTGCGAATAGGGAAAGAAGCGAGAGCCAGAGACAATGAAAGACGAGTTTTACCTGGCGGAGAGGGCTATCCTTCGGGAGAAAGCTTCCGATGGTCTTCCCATACACCTCACACGTAGAGAAGTGAATGAGACGCTTGCCATTTTCCGAGCAGTACTTCACCTAACGACACCGAAACCATCAACATCAATCCAACACGTGCATAAGAAGCCCCCATCACTAGCAGAGTTCCTATCGCGGGGTCATCGAGATCCAATCGATTGAATTTGACTGATATCAACAGAAAGGCACGAGAGCCGTGGAGAAAGAAAATCCAGTACCACGGGGAGGGCATCGATGAAATTGCTGTATATGGTGTCGAGAGGGCGAGTGTTGTAATCCGCAGGAGTGCAGATCGCCGCCAGATTGATAACCTGCGCGACGAGAACACGAAACCAGGCGCAATGTAAAGCACGTCAATCGACTCGATGATCGAATCCAACTCGACAACCCCGAACAACCAAGGCCGGACGACAAATCTTAAAGCACGAGCAAGCAGCAAAAATCCACCGAACGCAACGCATTCGTACGCGGCAATGCAGCAACGAGGAAAGCGCACGAACGGCCAATTCGGCCGTAAATCCAAAAGCATATCGAACCGATTGCGCGGGCCAACGCACGGAAATAACGAACCGGACGCAGCACACACGGAACAGAGCGACGGAGAATTCTGGAAGCAGAGGAGGGGGGGAGGAAAAGCTCACCAGATCCGACATCTTGATGAGGCCTTCGAGGCGGGAGTCGTGCTTGATGTTGAGGCGGTGGAACTGGATGCGGTGGGCCCAGGGGAGGGTGGCGGCGGGCTCCAGGAGGTGCCTGATCTTGTCGCTGTAGACGTCGAGCGCCAGCACCCGGTGCGGCGTCTCCGCCATGAGCGCCTCGCAGAGGTGGGAGCCGATGAACCCCCCCGCGCCGATCATGCATATCGTCATCGGCCCGATGGGGCGCCCGTCCAGATCTACCCTCGCGACGCCGCTCGCCATGTATTCCCACCGATCGAATCGAATCGGATCGCCCTCTCGACGGCCCGGAGCTTCGGAAGATTCGCCGATCCTCCGTACGACAATGGCGGGAACTCAGGTGGACGGACGGGGGGGAGCTTCGCGCGTGCTCGTCGTGGTGTTGCTCTGGAGCGAGAGATGGGAGGAGGAGGGAGGAGGATGGGTTTGGGCGGTGGGGGTGGTGGGGAGTGAAGGGAGCGGGTATTTATGAAATGTCGGTGCGTTTATTTTTGGGGGGGGAAGGTGGTGAAATTGCACTGCTTTGCACGGCCTGACCCATTTTTTTTATTTTTCCTTTTTTTCTTTGCCAGCCTTTTTTTTTTTTTTTTGCTTTTTTGGTGCACCCTCGAACGTGCGTAAATTGCAGTAGTATTCGATGGATCGACTCCGATTGCGATTTGTATTGCTGATTAGATTAAAAAGCTTTGTAAATTGTTTTGGATCGGGTCCGTTGTGGATCGACATCGTCGAAATGTTTCCGACTTAATATAACTGTTAATTCGACCGGAAATCTAATGTGCCGATCTAAAAAGCAGATAAAAAAATCGAAGCGTATCGATCTGATCTGCTCGAACGCCGATATGAATTTTCGTTGTAACGGGATGTTTAGCCGATTTGATTCGATGAATAAGTTGAGATGATTTTTTTTTGTCGGGGGTGCTGCTCGTCGAGTTATTGGGACACGTGTCTTGAGTGGTCCGCTCCGATAGCTCGGAGGGTATTTTTTTTTATTTTTTTTTACTCTTTTTGAGGTTAGAAGTGACGTAATTAGGGTAAGTGAAATGTACCAAATCGGAACTTTTGGAATGTCCATAGTGCATGTCAACGTGTAATTACGTAGGTTAGAGGGAAAGGGACAATGGTCAAATCGCTGCTCGTGATCGTTGTCGGTCTCCAATTCACGTAGCTCTTCTCTCCACTGAAATTAGTACTTTATTTCTATAACAAAATAATAAGTGAAAGTATTGCTGCTTATTCATGATATGCCATGATATTCCTTTTATACTTAGGAGGAGATATATTTCGAAAGATTCACGCAATATTATGTATCTTAAACCGGAGCTATTCATCTTAAAACTGAGAATTAGCATACCCGAATCGGCCAAGAAGCCCAAATACCTTTTCGCATTCGGCGGAGGAATCGAATTGATTTTTTTTCCGTTGGAAATCGACAAGAAATATCGCTTACCCACTTTCTCAAACAGAAAATTATGAATCACTAATGTCGGAGAAATGGAATTAATTTATTTATTTTTGATTGTGAATAGAGAGAGCTAGAGCACGGGTTGTCCACGGGGCTGACCTGGCCGGTATCATCGGGACGCGGCGCGAAGCGGCCGACGACGCTGCCGGAAGTCACGGCGGAGCGGAAGCTTTCCGCCTTGGGGGGAGGGGGAGGGGGGGGGGGGGGTGTTAGAGTCGCTATCACAGCCAGCGAAGGGCAGGAAATTACTGAGAGAGAGAGATTGAGGTCACGCCATGTGATTTTGATTGGTTCGTCCTTGTTCACCCACTGACCTATTTCCATGTTCGTGCTCACGTGGGCTACGACGATGCATGTTGGAATACACAAACTTAAATTCTGTATTAAATATTTATATAAACTTCGGAATCTGAAAACATAAAAAAAAAAATAGGGTTAATTTTAAAAAAAAGCATCAACTTTAGGTCTAAGGACAATTTTGGCCCGAACTTTTTTTTGTCCCGTAAAAAAGCACCAACTTTAGGTCAAGGTACAATTTTGGCCCGAACTTTTTTTTGTCCTGTAAAAAAGCACCAATTTTAGATCGAGAGACAATTCTGGCCCAAACTTTTTTTTGTCTCGTAAAAAAGCACTAATTTTAACTTAAATCCCAAATCTGGCCCCCATTGACTTAGAACCATTGATTATATAACTTGACTATTCCACATTAGCAATAAATCCATGTGGCTTGATGACTGGATTTAAAGCAATATTCATTGTCTTATTCTCTAAGCCACAATTTGAAGAATAACGGTAAAACTGTTCGTCTCCTTCACTTCACTGACAAGTCAAAAATATCTCCAGATTAAATATCTCTGGCTAAACGTAATCCGAAGCTGACCACCGCTTGTCGACAGACGCCATGGACGAGATTCGACAAGCTCACCACCATAACCTTCTTTCTCAAACAATGGTGAAAGTCAACAGGGGGCCAGATTTGGGATCATAATGAAAGTTGGTGATTTTTAATGAGACAAAAAAAAAATTGGGGCCAGAATTGCCACTCAACTTAAAGTTGGTGCTTTTTTATGGGACAAAAAAAAGTTCAGGCTAGAATTGTCCCTCGACCTAAAGTAAGTTGGTGCTTTTTTACGGAACAAAAAAAAGTTCGGGCCAGAATTGTCCCTCGACCTAAAGTAAGTTGGTGTTTTTTTATGGGACAAAAAAAAGTTCGGGCCAGAATTGTTCCTTGACCTAAAATTTGTGCTTTTTTTTGGAATTATGCCAAAAAAAAATATATCTATAGATAAATATAAAATGCGAGGGTCAAAATTCGATTTGATTTGATGACACTTGATCATCCGTAAGATTGACATGTTGCCGATTTACTGCAATTCTCGATGTCCGAACAAATTTGGACTCTCGACTGATGGTCGGTAACCTTATCAAATTAGAGATTTGTTGTCAATCAACAAGGGTTATTTTTTGGTAGGCTATCAAGCTGCATTCCTGATTTTAACGTACCGATACCTATACGCTTTGCCCCTCTTAATCCTCTAGGAGGAGGGAATACCTTCTTATTATTTTACGTTCAAGGAATATCGAGATCCACGCCTCTTGTTTAGGAGGTACCGCATGTCCGATATGTTTACTGCCATTCTAGGCGTACGAATAGATTTGGTCAAATTTTCTTCCTTTGTCTTTACTTCTTTCTAGTTAAAAAATACAAGCCAGCATAAATTGGCGGGGGTACTGAAAATGACGTGGTCATGCACATCGGAAAATTTCGCGAGACTCAGACTCCGTTTGTTTCCGCCAAGAAATGGACGATCTAGAAAATATTTTTTTAAAAATGATCGCCCGTACTGATTACGAGAATGAATAGATGCAAAATATTTTCCATTGCCCGCGAAAATATTTGCAAATAAATTGCCGTTAATAATGAAAATATTTTCCATTGACTATTTTATTTCAAACAATTATTATTTTCGGGAAATATTTTGCAAATCATTCATTTTTCCGCGAAATAATCAAGGGCGAGGCGGCATCTTGGGCCATGCCCACCCGTATTCCAAATCGGCCCATTGATGTTGGGCTTATATATACTTCCCAAATGAGTTCAGGCCCACCAAATTCAATTCGAAAAGTCACCCTTGAGGGGCTCATTCTCGGTAGTTATTCAAGATGACCCTATTTTTGGTGTGTTATAAGCATGGACATCTTCCGCGTGCAAAATGTTCCCGGAGAAGGAAAACGCGACCTTAATCCATAGGGGCGCATCGATGAAGAGGAAGTATCACATTCGATGAGAATTATTCGAGCGTTCAAAAAATCACAAAAAAATTTTAGTACAAGGGTAGGAAAAGAAAAAAAAAAACCACCCCCTCAATGGTTAGGCTAACTAATGCGATTATGCTCATACTCAACTCGCCCCGGCCAATGCTTTTGAAATCAAAATGTTTTGGGCGGGTTTGTAATTGGGTGATTCAAGGGCATGCGTGTGGAAACCGAGCGATTTTGAAGGTCATCGAAGGGCTTCCCTTGATATGAGGGTGAATACCTAATAGAGAAAATGACACAAACAGTCATTGAATTTTGATCCAATGCCAACTTTTAATTTGTTCAATGTAATCCATGAACTTTTGGCCCAATGTGCAATGTAAAATGTAATCCTTGAACTTTAGACTAAAGTTCAATGTGATCCCAAAACTTTTAATTTATTTAATATGGTACATAGAATTTTGGTAGATGTTCAATGTAATCCCTGAACTATAAGAAAATATTCAATCTAGTCTTAAGTTCATAGATCACATTGAATATTGAGTTAAAGTTGATATATTACATTGAACAAATTAAAAATCGAGGGACCAAATTATACACTGGATCAAGAAGTTTTAGGCGGGTTTGTATTTGGGTGATTCAAGGGCTCGCGTGTGGAAACCTGGCAATTTTGAAGGTCATAGAAGGGCTTCCCTTGATACATCGGTGAATACCTAATAGAGAAAATGATACAAACAGTTCTTGAATTTTGGTCAATGTACAATATGATCCATGAAATTTTAATTTGTTTAATATAATCCCTGAACTTTTGGCCCAATGTACAATGTAAAATATAATCCCTGAATTTTAGACTAATGTTCAATGTGATCCCCGAACTTTTAATTTATTTAATGTGTTCTCTGAAATTTTAGTACATGTTCAATATAATCCCCGAACTACGTGAAAATGTTCAATGTAATCCTAAGTTCAGGGATCACATTGAACATTGGGTTAAAGTTCATGAATTACATTAAACAAATTAAAAGTTGAGGGACCAGATTATATATTGGATCAAAGTTCAGGAACTATTTGTGTCATTATCCCTACCTAATGATACGTCAATTTCCAAGAGTTTACTCAGTTTTTGTCTAGGGGTGGTGAGGCAATGGCAAACTTTTCAGTCAAACACTTCCCAAGGCGATAAAATCCAAAAGCAAAACAGAAAGCTCGCTCCCCTCTCTTCTCTTCTCCCGCGGCCATCAGCATTCTCAGCAAAATCTCCGCTGCTGCTGCTGCTGCTCGGTCCCTCCATAATGCTTGCTCCTTGTTCCCTTCCTTCTCTCTCTCTATGCAGCAAAATCAGCAGAGAGAGAGAGAGAGAGAGAGAGAGAGAGAGAGAGAGAGGGGAGGGCACTAGAAGCCAAGGCGAGAGCGCGATCAATGCCAAGCCCCGTCTCTGCCATTACACGTACTTTCTGTTCGTGCCCCTGTGGATGATTTAGACCAGCACTTCCATCCTTCCTTTTTGGCAATGCTCCCCCCCCTTTGAAAGGGGCTTGTGTAGGGAAAAAGAAAAAGAAATCTGGGTTTGTGTGCTTTTTCTCGCAGTGTGTGCGTGGTGGTCCTGCGATTGGGGGGTTGCAATGGCTGCACGTAACCTTATTTACCTATTACGTTAATCGATGATCCTCGAGTCCATCGTCAGGAGGACATTATCGTGGGAGTGATTGAAAGGTTTTCCTTCGTTACATTAGATTATCCAACGGTCCCCAAAATTCAAAGTACTTTGCTTTTCTTGGGACTAGACAGAGGAAAGTGTTTTGAGTAAATTATTCCATGTCAGGAAAGATTATGCTATCCTTTTGCTTCTCTCTTTTCCATTTGCCTTTTGCTTTTCTTGGTAATTTATATGATGCGAGTAGAATGGCACATTCTGAGGGAGTTTTTGTTTACTAAATCGCGTCTGGACTTTGTGGATGCTCATGCGAGATTTTATAAGATCACTATTGAAATATTTCATTTGAGAGGCAAATAAGGCCCGGTAAGATTTAGGCTCCGTTCGTTTGGCGGAAAATATTCTCCTTTTGGAAAATATTTTCCCGGAAGTCATTTTCCTGGAAAATGTTTTCTCGGAACATAATTTTCCGGTGTTCGGCGACCAATATGAAAAAGTTTCGGAAAATATTTTTTGCTGGCGACCGGCGGCGGCAGGCGACCGACGGCCAACGTCCGGCAGCAGGCGGCAGCGGCGGAGACCGGCGGCGGCCGCGGCGGCAGCGGCGACCGGCGGCAGCGGCGACCGACGACCTTAGTGAAGAAGAAGAAGAAGCTCCGGAAAATAATTTCCGCTTTTGAAGAAGCGGAAGTCATTTTCCGTAGACTTAGGCTATTTTGTGAGGGAGGGAAGGAAAATATTTTCCCACGGAAAACGTTTTCCGCCCTCCGAACACCGGAAAACCCGGAAAATATTTTCCGGGAGAATATTTTCCGCCAAACGAATGGAGCCTTAAACTCAGAATATTCTGCATTGATACGATAAAAGAATAAACGCATTTAATTCTTAATCTCAACGTACAATTGTTGAGATGATTTCCATTATGTAAAAATATTACAAATGTTACGCTTCGTAAGGAAACAATATAATAATAATAAATAAGAAGAGATCATTATATTACAAGAGTTACCAATCATTGATTTTAACATATCCAAGAAACAAGTTGTGATTTTGATCGATATCTCAAGATTCTTCTTCCTTGATCGATAAATCAATGCTTTTAGCTTATTGATGCAATGTTCTTTTATAAAATGAAAGTCGGGGAGCGCCAATGATGTTTCCATGCGAGTCTCATTCTTGACAAGGAATGTGTTAATTAAGCTATAGCTTCTCCATGGCGATCTAACGATTCAAGGTTGGCAAGTTTGTCATCATAACACATCAAGATTTTAACTTTTTACGAAATCTCTTCACACGATATATGTTGCAATTATGCTACGCAACATGAGTCGTTTAGAGATTCATTCATGAAGTGAATCCAACTCGTGATCTTGTGACAAACAATTCGAGAGAAGTCCACCCAAGTGGTAGCCATAGAACTTTTCAAGGAAGAACCGCTTATTCTTTTCTTTTCCCCTTTTGGTTCGTATAGAAGAACCAATCAAGTAAGTGATCGTGGCGAAATTTTCAAAGCACATAATTATGGTTAAAACTGAGCCCATGTTAGTTATGAGCTGAGTCGGTCTTTGATTTGCATATGAGTCTTGATATATCTAACATTACTCATAAGCAATAAATCACACATCTTGTACATGGGTTGGGACAGAGCGGAGAAGAGGGCGATCGGATGCGAATTAAAAAACAAACACAAAATTCGAGCAGAGACCAGAGAAATGCGGCTTTATTCAGTTCTTTTTTTATCGAATGTTTATATATATATATGAATAGTACGAAAATCCCATAGTCAAGATGTAGGATTTATTTATGATGAAATTCTGTTAAGTTATTTCATAATCCATATTAACGCAACTATACAGAATACGTATAACAAAGCCATGAAAGCACGTGTCCTGATAGTTCAAGAACAGCACACTGACTCTCGGTTTCGCCTCCCAACATTTGTCTCCGCCACCACCATGCTTTTCTTGCAACCTTTGCATGATGAGAGTAGACACAGAGCTTCAGCTCTGATTTTGACTCTCTCTCAATCTCGTTCCTTCTCTGGTCGTCACGTATATGTCTCCTTGCGCACGTGCAGAGAGCCCATATCACCCCCTTCTTCACCACGTGGTCTTTCTTCGCCTTTTGGCAATGCCCATATAAGCCCATCACCCTCTTACCATCTCGTTTGCTCTGCTTCTCTCTGTACCCGGCTATCCCACAATGCTCTGTTCTTGATCTTTTTCTTCTTGCCAAACGAAGCGACTTTTTTTCAGAGCCCCGATATGGGTTCGGTTCTTCGGCTCAGGAAACTCTGTTACGCGGAGCCAGTGAAGTTCCAGTCGTTTGAGTCCATCAAGAACGCTGAGAAGAAGCAGCAGCAGCAGCAGAAAGAGAGAGTCGCCTCCGAGGTTGAGAATGTGGTCCAAAAGGATGGTGGTGGTGGTGGTGGTGGTGGTGGTGATGATGAGGATGGGAATAAGAAGAAGAAGAAGAAGAGAAAGAGGAAGATTAAAGAATGGAGGTGCATTGATTCCTGTTGTTGGATAATCGGGTGTTTGTGCACTGTCTGGTGCCTCCTGTTGTTCCTGTACCACTGGTTGCCGGCTGCATTGCCCGGGTTTCAGCCGCCCAAATCGCCTGGGGCACGGCTCGGCCGAGAGGGCGTGCACGTTCTTGTCCCTGGCATCTTGACCGTCGGGCTCGAGCTCTGGGAAGGCAAGCCCTGCAGCGAGGGCCTATTCTGGAAGCGCCTCTGGGGAGGCAGCTTCACCCAAATCCTCAAAAGGTTGGTGATCGAGGCAACCGCAATTAGCGTTACCATTTTATAATCTTGCTTTTATTGCATCTTGTAGTCATTGATGGGATGTAATGTGTTGTTTCTTCTTATGGTCAAGGCAACTAATATAGTGAATTCAATAATGTGTCAAAGTACAGTCATATTCAGATAACATGTGTTGGTTTCATAGGTAATTGGGTTTTCCGTTTCTGTGCTTCGGTTTTTAATGTATTGGTTTATATCTCGGTGTATGCTTGTGCTCATTGCCAAAATCAATTAACTCTGGCTCAGTTACATACCATAAGACCATAAATTTTTTGCAGTCTGTGAGTTTGGATGGATTGAGAACTTACATGAGTGACCATGGCTCATGTAGGCCACTTTGTTGGTTGGAGCACCTCTCACTGGACAACGAGACCGGACTCGACCCCCCTGGGATTCGGGTGCGGGCCGTTCCGGGGCTGGTTGCGGCGGACTATTTCGCATCTGGGTATTTCGTGTGGGCCGTCCTTATTCAGAATTTGGCTAAAATTGGTTATGAGGAGAAGAATCTGCATATGGCTGCTTATGACTGGATTATCATTCCAGAATACAGAGGTAGTCTACTTTACTTTGTTGATCAAGTATAATCTCACTATTTCCATGGGATTCAGGAGTAGAATCATCTTGAATCATTGTATCATCATCTTAGAGTCCTGCATTGCCCGGAAAAACCATCTACACATGATATAGTTTAGGCCTTGCTCATCAGTCGTTGCTAATGCACTTAATGTCTTTAATTAATAGAGCATAAGAATTGGGACCGATCGATTGCAGTTAGAACCCTTCTCCCTAGAATTTGACTGGAGCTGATTCAGGGAAGAAAGACATTATCATAAGAAAGTTATCAATCTACTTTGGGGTGGTGCAGTATAATTACTTATTAGATCTATGTGGTTTCAAGTACATGTCCATCGATCAAGAGCCAAAAGATAGCTGTCTGCATCTCCTGTTGTCTGATTTGAGAATCAACAGCAAAGTGTAGAACAAGAAGTTATTGGAAGTCCTGCAGATTCGAAGGTACCTAACTGGATCTTGTGCAGATTAGAGATCAAGCTCTCAGCAGATTAAAGAGTACAATCGAGCTCATGTATCTGACCAATGGGTGCAAGAAAGTGGTAGTGGTTCCTCACTCAATGGGAGTCGTCTATTTTCTTCACTTTCTAAAATGGGTCGAAGTGCCTCCTCCTATGGGAGGCAATGGTGGACCCGGTTGGCGTGCCAAGCATATTAAAGCAATTATGAATATCGGTCCACCATTTCTTGGCGTTCCAAAGGCAGTTAGCAACTTAATCTCCTCCGAGGGCGAAGACATTGCCATCATCAGGTTAGCTTTTACTTGCATCAAACAACATATTGCTATGGAAAACCTAATCTCATTAAGGTAAATACCATACTTCATGTACTAGCTTCAGATTAAAATCTCACCTTATATAAATTCATGAATGACTGTGAACTAATTGGGATAGTTGCTAATAGTTGGACAAAATCTAATGAACATCAATTTGGTTTTGGCAGTAAATGATTGCTATGAAGTTGTTAACATGATCGTTCTGCTTTATGCCTTTGCAGAGCAATGAATCCTGGGGTTCCGGATTCTGAAATTCTTGGGCTTCAGACTCTGGAACATGCTATGCGTGTAGCCAGGACATGGGATTCAATTATCTCGTTAGTCCCTAAAGGAGGAGAGACCATTTGGGGCGACTTAAATTGGTCTCCAGAAGAAGGGCGCAGTTGCAGTCTGGCGAGGAGAAGAACCCTGCAATCATCTGGAAATAACATGAACTCAAACCACACCGATGTAAAGAGAACTTTCAGCGTCATGAAAGAGCCTGCAAAGTACGGAAGAATAATTTCTTTCGGCAAAGAGGCATCGTATTTACCATCTTTGCAGCTCCCAAGTGTTGATATTAAGGTACAACTGTTTTCCTCGATTTCAAGTCTCATGTGTTCTAGATTTTCGGTTTTATGATTTTCCAGCCAGGGGTCTCCATACATCATGTTTTTTTGTTTTCTGCCATCTCGAAAGATGTTGTGTCATAACAAAGTTCCGAACTCTCCTTATCTAATGCTCAGAGAAACTTCAGTATATAGTGTAGTAGAGGACGTCTCCTTGATTTGCAGGCTAAAATGTCCTCTAGGATTGGTTTATCATTAGTTTTACTTATTCCTAGCGGGGGCTAGTCTTGTCTCATTGCCAGTATATATTGTGCATAGCTGATGTTCTTCTAACGACGCTATGCAGGAGCTTTTACTTGGAAGCCCCCTCAATCATATCTAACTCGACGTGTTGAGAGGTTTGGACTGAGTATGACGAACTCAGCAGAGAGAGCATTCGAGATGTTGCGAACAATAAAGTGTACACTTCTTGAACTCTCCTCGATCTGCTACGTTTTGTGGCCCCCAAGATGATGCAGCGTGCCGAGGCTCACTTCTCTCGTGGGATAAGCCGATAATCTTGACGACCTCAAATACGACCACTACAAGTACTGGTCGAATCCGCTTGAAATGCGGTATGTATCAATAATTTGACATTCTATCATCTTTAGGGTTCTCCTGCTTGAAGTGTAAAGTTTCTGTTCCATTGAACATAATACTATTTCAGGTTGCCGGATGCTCCTGACATGGAAATATATTGCTTATACGGAGTCGGAATTCCCACTGAAAGATCATATATCTACAAGATGGCAACCACAGGCAAATGCAAGAGCATTCCCTTCCACATAGACAGCACGGCTGAGGGATATGAGGACAGCTGCTTGAAAGGCGGAGTCTACTTTGTGGATGGCGACGAGAGCATGCCCGTCCTTAGCTCCGGCTTCATGTGCGCCAGAGGGTGGAGAGGGAAAACGAGATCCAACCCCTCCGGAGCCACCACGTATGTGAGAGAATACCAGCACAGGCCCCCGGCAAGCCTGCTCGAGAGCCGAGGTGCCGCAAGCGGTGCCCATGTCGACATCATGGGCAACGTGGCCTTCATTGAGGACATCCTCAGGGTTGCCGCAGGGGCTGCCGGCGAGGAGATTGGCAGTGACAGGATCTATTCTGACATTATGAGGATGTCGGATAGAATAAATATACGGCTTTGATTCTCCGGCAGAGATTGATGAATGACGAAGTGACAGCCTTCAGGAGATGACGCTTCTGCTAACAAATAAGAGGGAGAAATGCAAAAGCAGAAGAATTTGCAGCTCGGAGAGAAGAATAACCAGCCACATGACGTTTTCACTTCGTTTAGACTTGTATACGCAGCTAAAATTGGAGAATAAAGGCTGCTCTTAGGAAGCTGGCTTGTGGTTGTGAGGACCCACTGCTGATCTGACCATAGACTAGCCAGAGCCAGATTTTGGTCTTTATGTAGAGGGTCGACAATAACATGGAAGACTTCTGCTAACCAATGTCGTCTTCCTTGTCAGCTGCGTTATTGGTTGGTATAATCAGATCTCAATAACAGTTTGGAACTTCTTCAGTTTATTCAATTCTTTTTGTTGGTTGTTCCTAGAGGTAGTCTTCCAATTTGAGGATGATATTTTGATCAATGAAAAGGCACGACATGAGAGGGCCGAGCCTAAAGTTACCCCGTCGGCTACAAACCCGATCAGTTTGCAGATTGATTGGTTGTATTATCATTTCATCGTGCTGTGGAAGGTTCAAATCGATTTTATATTAGCGCACTTTTGAGATGAGTAAAGCTTTGTATGGAACTCACCTGATCTAGCAGGATAGGGATCGGATGCACGCATGACTCACATTTGCCCCCCTTGTTCTGTTTGATAAAACCATGTTCACCGTTTTTCCTCCTCCTGCGCGACTTTCCTCTAGCTCATATCAAGAAGCCCTTGACACAAAAAACAAAAAGGTCGAAGGACCAGAAGCACAATTCACTTAGGTCTACATGATGAAACATTCGTGTACTCACTAGGACGACTCTCATCCGTGATTTACCATGTCGTTAACGAAAAAAAATCAAAGTCACTAACACGAAATTACTTAACGTGTTTGAGAAATTACCACCACTTCCTGAAAAGGGCCAAAGGCCTTTCAAATGTCGACTGAATATAAAAAAAAAAAAAATTTTTTTGAGAGTGTGAAGGCCAATGGAGGGCTACACTCGTGAAGGAATTGAAGAGATTAGTCCTGTTCCAAAGTCTCAGAACCTAAGACACTCCTATTACTTGTACCCTCGAGTTATACTAGCCCGACATAGAGGACGTTTCCAGACTATCTAGAATACTGAATAGTCCTCCATGGTTGTGAAGCTTTATGTGCATGAGAAAATCAAAGGAACTTAGAAGAGGATGCTGCGAAAGAGTTGGAACGAAATGACTTCTTAGTGAGAACTCCAAAATGCACAGATGCAAATGAAGTGCCGCCAGAGTTTCACGACAGATGGTTAATGGAGTGAAGTTGTTCAATCGGTTCTTCCTTTTGTCTCTTTTATTCTGTCGAATGGGTGAAAAATTAAAGAAAGCACACACAATATCACAAGGGAAACAGAAGTAGGCATAGAATTCTAGACGGTTCACTGCCAGCATCCGCTCGTAGCGACAATCTTAATCACAGATGAGGAACATATAACAGTTCAACTCCTTCCATCTTCCAAATCAGAAGCAAAAAGAGTAGCAATCATACATGACATTCTAAGTAGGATTTTACAATCTTTAGAAGGAAAGATAAAATAGGATTTTTTATAATATCATCTTGATTGCCTAACTCTTTGACCTCAAACCACAATCTCTGATAGAAATTTCATTAATAAGCAGTTAAAGAACTAACAAGCAGAGGAGAGAAGTGTATCACAGTAAGAAGAAATTTTGAGGAGAAGTAGATCAAACATGCAAACTCAAATACCTTTGGGAGATAAGCACAAGATAAATTCACTGTCTGTGGCAATGACAAAGCCCCGTACAATTAGAATCAAGACCGGCTCATGTATATGACAAGTCCCCACCAGGTAGAGGAGCAATTCACTGAGTGCTACTGCATCACTAATCCGGGAAACCAGGCAGCCCTAGACATAGTAATGGGAGAACTCCATAGCCTTGTGGAATGTACAGACTTCAAGAAGATGTCTTCTCCAAATATTCAGTCCACGAGAACTTTAAATATAACCTATCGGTACCATGGAGGGACAGCTGTCCATTGGGCAGGCAACGCTTTTCAAGCAAGTTCCTCTGAATCTGCAGAGTTAACTCCATGGTTTTCATGATCAAATTTATCAGGCGGATGCAGCAATGATTAGGCAAGTCCAATGAGACCTCCAACATGCATGATGAAAAGTATGTTGCACTGCAACCCTCATTCATGCGGAAGTTCCTTCGATAACAGATCGATTGAGATGGTCCATCGGGATGCGTCTGCAATAGCTAAATCCTTGCAGAACATCGAAGTGGCACATGAAAATTGAAGAACCAGTACTAGTAGTGCCAGTGTGCTACATCCAGGCTTCAATCACCTGCTAGGATAAACATCTACTATGAATAAGCAGCTGTGAGAGAAGGGACTACATAATTAATACGACAACGTTGATAGCCCTCTCTCTCTCACACTCTCTCTCTCAATTGACAATAACCTCAGAATAAAAAAGGTCTTGAAACTAGCAGGTACAAGAAATTTCATAAAAAATGCTAGGTGTAATATCCCAGAAAGATGCTTACTTGATATATTTTTCACAGCAGTGAAGCAACTTATCAACCAAGGATCCATCAGCATGATGCTTTCCTGACAAACTGTTCTCCTCAGCATTATCCTTCAAAGTTTTCCAGTGGTGCAATATACTAATTATCCGTTTGAGCTGTTTAGAAGGTAAAGGGAAACAAATATTTTGGCAAGCTAGCAACTTAGGTTCAACATCAAGCAAGGTGCACAAGACCAAAGATTTAATAAAGTCTTGTAACCCACAATAATAAGCAGATTATTTTACTATATTGATCTCCACTAGTGTCTCCAGTGAGAGAATCCTTGGCTTAGTTGATTGCTGTTTTAACATTGAGAATGACATAGTAAATATAGGATACGGCCATAATTATGACATTTGGTTTAGTCTCACAACCATCAGAGCTTCCATGTTTAATGAATGAATCTGTTTGATGGTCCAAAAGATCTTCCTCGATCAGATCACACTTGCTTGCAAGAACTGACACATATTGATACAAAATGGAGAATCCCATTTCACTTTCCTTAATATGAACCAGCAATTGGACGATAATACTCCACAGAGCATTCCGTGCTTCCATGTCATTTGCAGCAAATGGTAATATGTCAAGCAAACCCTGTAAAAAGGGCAAATCTGGAGGATGTCGAACATCAGTTCCATTCCAGTCATATGATGTGCTAGTGCGAGAGAAAAATCAGGTGAAAGATTCAATAGACACAGCAGAATAAATTACCCAGTGACATCTCTGTAGCTAGGTTGGTGACATCAGACATAATGTTGGCCATCAGAACTGCTGCAGTAACACAAGAATCGGCAATCTAGGAAAAAGCAACACAAAAGAAAAGTATGGTTCTGTCAATTTTAATGCCATAAGAAACTAGTAAGGTATGAGTTCAAGTCTCCAACAAGATAATATGCCAAGATTTCATTGGGAAGGTACCAGGGGTACCGCCCCTATGCAAAACGGCTTCAGGTAGAAGCCACCCATTCGAGATGCACAAATTCAAAAGCTGCAGGAAGCTTGCAACCAAATTTTCAGAAAGAGATAGTACATGATGCATGCCCATCCCTGCACCCACCCCTCAAAGAAAATTTATATCTACAGTACCAATGTTTTCATGAAAATGCTAAAATACTGGATATATTTAAGAAAATCTTAGATCTTCAAACATGGATGGTTCCACAAATTAAACAGCCACAAATCGGATGCTTTTAACATTATCAAGGACTCCTAACGCTTGGATATTGCTATTGCATGCTCACCATCAAAATGCACTTACCTCCATCTTATCAGGAAGTTTGACCAGGTCACGAACAAGTCCAATGAGTTCCTTATTTGAAGAGATTCTGTGAGAATGATCATCCATCACAGATAGAGCCTCAATTGCACGGAGAATTATATCAAGCACAGGGTATCTGAAATGATGCGTACACAAATTACTAGAGGAATTCAATTTGCTCCTCAAATCATAACTCTCTACTGAAAATCCGCCGCCCCCGCCCCCGACACATCCAAACATGCACACAGGAACACGCATAAACAGGCACATAAATGCATGTGTATGCACTTTGAAGAAAAATCCAAAGTTGATTGAAATTAAAAAAAAACTTGAAAATTCCATGATGTTCAATTGCAAATGTTCTTTGAAGAGTTATATACGGGGATGCGGATGTAATGTAGACCGATAAGCTATAATATGTATCTTTAACAAGTATGCTCAGCATAGTACATGAAACTACATTCTTACAAATCAATATCACAGCATTTCAACACAAAATTCTTGAAAACAACTGCAACTTATGAAGATTAACTACTTCACCCCTTAAAGAGTGTAAGAATCTTCCTTCCACCAGGTCCATACTCATCAACGGTGAACGCAGAAATTTCAAGAATACCTTTCAGGGTTTTTTTCACTTGTTAGTCGGCTCATCTCATAAGCCAGAAGATTGAAGAGGACATTTGGCAGGCCGATATCAATCAAAGGAGGAAGAAGAATCGACGCAACTTGTTGATTTTCTGACATCGTTAAAAGTAGCCCAACACTCTGTTTGAGAAAGAAAATGCCTTTAGCCAAAGAAACAAATTCTGTTTACATGCAATATACCTTGACATAAAAGAATCAAACATCTACTGTACCATTGACCTTTTCTATAAGCAGTGGATTCAAGGAGTTCTCTGCAATCCAAACAAGACGGCGAATAACATGGTCAGACAACAAAGCCTCCGCCCAAGTAATACTTTCATTACCTTGAATAGCCAAGGTCAAAAACCTGTGTCAATGCCAATCATAAGATGTATGACAAACTTAGAAATACATCACGAGCTAGCCTGTGCTATAAAATATAACACCAGCAATAATACATGAAATGCAATCAAAACAAATTATAGAGCCAGCACCCAACTAATTTTATCCTAAATAGGAAAAGAAAGACACAAATGGAGAGCACTTTACGACAAGAGACACTACGATTTCAAAATTTTGTACATTATAAAGACAAAAGAAGTTCCTTCTCTAGTCATTTAATGCAGTCCACTGAGAAGGATTAAGGAAACACTGCACGCAGAACTATAAGAAATCAAACTAATGTTAAGAAAAAAAACATGGGGTGAACAAGAAATAAGGATAACCAACCACATTGTCTAGCAAAGTCAATGTAGTGACAGAAACATTTTGGAATTACAGAGAAAAGTCAATGCAGGAGATAAGCAAGAAAAAACTCAATTCCCAACACCCCCCCCCCCCTCCCATAAAAATAAAAATTTGAGTGTCCTTCTGGACCGTTTCCTGAATAAAATTTTCTTTGTGGCCATTACAGGCAGAAGGAAAAAAACTTCCGATTACTAATATAGTACCGGCAAGCTTCACATAAGCATTGGGTATCATCCAAAAACAGTTGATCCACAATTGCGTCAATGAGCCCCTTAGTAGAAACTATACTCTTCATGAGAACCTCATGGCAAGCAACATTCCCTATAATTCCAAGACAAATCTCCTGCAAGGAATAAGATGAGTACAGTTATTCAGAACCAACTGGTCCACTGTTCCCAAATATGGTTTCCAAATGCCCACCAACAGAATCGTTTAAGAAAAAAGAAGCATGGAGAGCAGCTTACTCTAACCCTAGCGGATTGGGAGACTGTGAGGTTTGCCAAAAGCACGTCCAGAACAAGGTTCTCAACCTGTGACATGCATAACTTACTGTGAATCAGAGTGCGTCTGTGAATCAGATACTTACTGTAACTATACAACATTATCCTTTAGATGTGGCTTTTTTTGCAAGTAACTCAGTTCAGGCTGTGAGCGACTAGAGACGATGGAGCTCACAAACAAGACTAAATAAACTACAGAGACAACAAATGTTTTATTATATCTGGTAAACAACCAATTCACCCTTTTTGCAAAAATTTCATATTAATGCATCAATAACCAGATAAGTCCACCCAAATTGAAGCAAACAAGATATCAAAGTACACTAGATAGCATTTGAAAAAATAGGATGCAATCTCGGGTACCATGAGTTCGGCATGAGTTTGACTTGCAGCAAGGTCCCACAGAATGCAACCATACCCTTCCCAAACCTCTTCTAATGTAGAAGCTTTGGGCAATCCATTTCCGCAACCTGACTCTCCATCAACTTTTCCTTCTTCACAGGCAGATTCATTATTATCATCAATAATGTCCATTATCTCAGGAAAGTCGTTTGCTGAATCTTGTGCTCTCATACTATCTGCCAGGGCCAGCTTTTCTTCAATGAGATCCGAGTTTGACTTCTGGGAATTGTTTCCATCAACTCCACCGGAGCAAGAGTTATATGTCTGATTGGGCGGTAGAAGTTTCCGTATGAGGGAAATTATGTAGCTGGGATCAACTGTTGTTGAGAGGTCAAATGACTGCACATAGTAAGAGACTCAAGGAGAATTAATCAATTTCATCTCACATACTTTTTCTCGACGGTCTCTTTATCAATTAAAAAACATTAAAATCACGAAATGATTTAGAAATGGCATCCACAAGTTCTTTCATAACAGTTAAGACAGAAAATAAGAGACAGGCACAAATGATCTTGAACAGCAGCAACCTAAACTCAGCAACAGATTGGCCCCCCTACCGCGACAACTAAAGTAAGAGCAACTCCATCGACATCACACGGAAAAACTTAGTCCAAAATGTCCCGTAGGTTCCCCATGAGTAAAGAGAACAACCTAGGAAATTCCATATCTTTCTGGATAACATCACCGCCATCGCAAATAAGAGAAGCTTAATCCTGACAGTGAGTGACCATCCATAGCATCACCATGCGATTATACCATGGAGCGAAGTCGGACGAAGAACCTAACAAGACAGTGCCATAAAACCAGAGCGCGCGCGTCTCACAGAAAGCTAGCCGCTTCCGAGAAAGAGCAACCATCGATTCAAGTTCCCGACAGTCGAAATGCATCCTCCGGCGCTCAGAAGCAGTTCGGATTGCAGGAACACTAGGGCAGCGAAAGACGAACGAACGAAACTAGTACCGAACCGTGTTCCGACCGAGAGGGACCGTTCTCCATATCCACAAACGATGGCGATTAGACGGAATCGGAGAGCGCGAGCGTATCGTACCTCGTCGGGCGGTGCGACGGGATGATGAGCCGGCGCATCTTCGTCCAGCAAGCGCTCCTCCTCCTCCTCCTCCTCTTCTTCGCCCTGAAGGGCCGATTCCGAGTCGACCGCCATCGACCGTCGCCCGGTGCGAGCAGGGACAAACCAGCTGAGCTTCAGAGCAGATCACCGTATACGTTCTTCACTTTCGTTTACTGTATTTGATTTCAGTGAGACCGGTCGCCGGAAAACTATCCTCCGCGCGATTACAAGTCCCGCCTTATGTCTCGCGGGACCACCGGCGATCAACCCGATGGGCATCGGCGGTGGCGATGTAGGGAATCCAAATACCTTTGGGCCCGTTTGGTTCGACTTTGGGGGAATGCATTTGGGGGAATGCAAATACCTTTGGGCTAAAGGGTTTTTTCGAAATGCAAGTAGCGTTTGGTAAGTGTTTTATAAAAAATCAACTTGGGCTAAAGGACTTTTGTTATTTTTTTTTAAAAAAAAAGCTCCGATGGAGCTACACCGCCGGGCACCGCCTTCGGCCGAGATGCGGTCACGGCCAACCGCCGACGACCGGATCACGGTCGCCGTGCAGTCTCATGCGACCCTCCGGCGACCAGCACTTGGGGTCGCGCGACCCGGCGACCACCGCACAGGGTCGCGGACCTCGGGCGGTCGCACAGGTCGCGCGACCCGGGCGATGCCCGAGGTCCGGCGACCCCAGGCGGCAATCTCCGGGGTCGCGCGACCCCCGGACGGTGGTCGCCGGAGTCGGGCTAGCCCTCAGGCGGCGGCCGGACCTCGGTTTAGGGAAGATGAACAGTGTCGATGAATAGTGCAAGTTGTATTCCGAAAATGCAACTTCCCAAAGCACCTTCAGAGGTGCATTGGCCAAAGGTCCCTTGGGGAGCATTCCAAATGCAATTGCATTTTTCCAAAGTGAGTAAAAAAAATTGCCAAAGGCCATTTGCATTTGGCCAAGAGACTTTAGAGGCCAAATGAGCATTGGGAATGCTGAACCAAACGGGGCCATAAACCCCGCTGCATTCACGAAATCCCTTTTTTTAAAAGGTGGTTTGTTATGAAAAGTTTTTTTTTTCGTTTGGGGTTTTTTTGCCATTTTTTGTGTGTATTATCTAAATTTAAAGAAAATAAAAATAATATGCAAAAGTTAATCTAGTACCGTCTTGACTGATTAACTTTTTCAATAGGGTTATTAGCATGAAAAAACAAAAATTAATATATTTATGTTAAATTTATTCAAAACTAATTTTTGACCACTAAAACTCCAAAACTTGTAAACCCGTGATAATCTTACGTTCGTTAGTTTCTATTGAATTTTACCTTCAAATTGCAGAGTTGGATAACACGTGGCAGTTGATGAGTGTACCAGTTTGAGATTTTACCCCTCTGTTTATTAAATGTTACTAATTTGTGATTTTTCGTGGTATTAATCTAATTTAACATATGGTAAATTTGTTGCAAGTATACCAATTTGAGGTTTTTGGTGATCAAAAAATTAGTTTTGGATAAATTTATTACACGCGTACCGGTTTGAGTTTTTTCGTGGTACCCTTTTCAATATATGCAATCATCAACTTTTTCGGTCGAAATAAGTTCCAACATACTATAACGGGATATGTGCACTAAAAGTCCTAAAATTTGTCAAGAAAGTGCAATCGAGTCTTAAAACTCGAAAAAAATGCAATCGAATCCTAAAACTTATTAATTTTGTTTAATCAAGTCGTAAAACTTGTTAAATTTGTCCAATTGAGTTCTAAAGTTATCACCGTCTAATTTACTAGTGGAAAATACTAACTTGTCTTATTTTATTACTTTTCTTGAGATACGTGGCAATAATATAGTGTCCAACAAGCGTCATGTCAGAAAAAGATAAAAATAAATAAATTAAAAAAACCAGACCTACAACCAGCGGTTGTAGCCTACTGGCAATTGGTCGACGGACTTCAGGAAGGCTAGGCAACCTTTGCTGGCCCTTCTCGGCGGCTGTGGCGGCGGCCATCGGTAGCGGCCACCGGTGAGGATTGGCCACAGATGCCAGATGGTTGTAGGTTTCGTTTTTTTTTTTTTATAGCTTTTTCTGATTTAATTAATTAATTTTTATCTTTTTCTGACGTGGCGCTTGTTGGACACCACATCATCGTCACGTGTCTCAAAAAAAGTAATAAAATAAGACATGTCAACATTTTTCGTTAGTAAATTAGACTATATAAACTTTAGGACTTGATTGAACCAATTTGACAAGTTTTAGGATCCGATTACACTTTTTGCAAGTTTTAGTAGGGTGATCGGTTCCAGGTCCAGTCTAGTTCCAAGGTGGAATCGGGAACTAGACCGGGAGGATCGGTTCCCAAAATTAGGAATCGAGGACCGGACTGGTTGGTCCTAGAAATGGGAACCGGTCACTTTTTTTTCCCACCACTTGATGCCATCTTTTCGTGTTAAATTAAGTGATATGATGATTCTCAAATTACAAAGATGAATGAAAAAACGTGCTTCACTTAGGATTTAGTTCACATTTTACTAATTTTTTGAAGAAAAAAATAAAAAAATAAAGTATATGTAGTCGGTCCGATCCGATTTCCTTTGGAACCTGAAACCGAACCACCTGAACACCGGTTCCACTTTCAGGAATCGAGAATTGGACCGACACTCCCAGAAACCGGATCAAAACGGTTGATCCGGTCTAGTCCGAGCAGTTCCCGATTTGGGCGATTCGTTTTGTACATCTCTAAGTTTTAGGACTCAATTGCACTTTTGTGACAAATTTTTAAATTTCTAGTGAACATATCCCTACTACAATTGACGAGTCATGTGCATTTTGTACTTAGATCGAATAGTAGCCAGCGCAACTACTTTGATGAGAGAGCACAACTTTTGCCAGAGGAAAACTAGGCGTGGTTGGTGGCGTCGCTACCATCATCGAGGTGGTTGGCCAAATTGGAAGAGACTCAATCCTCGATGATTTTTGGAGCCCTTTCGGTCATAAGTTCAAATCCTCCGGTCGCTTCTTTCTATCTTAGAAAATTCCGATTCTTCTATAGCGTGGGTTTAGATCATACACCAAACGTAAGACAGCCTCGGCTTCATTCCCCGCTTGCACCCGTCGATGCGATTGTAGTGGGTTCGATATAAATAAGCAATATGCACAACTCAAATCCGAATAATTTCGCTGATGGATGTGAAAATTCCACGGTAATTTTTATATGGGGCATCGACGCGGGTCGCTCCTCCCAATCTTTTTACCAGTGAAAAAAAAAAAGACGTGGCCCCAAGATTCATCAGGAGCAGCCACGTGGCTAGATTCTACAGCTGAAGAGTTGGAATCCCTTCTCGAAGACAGTTCTTTTTTTTTTTTTGGTCGGACTTCTCGAGGATAGTTTTTCTTTTGGGTTAATACCACGAAAAACCCTAAACTGGTACACTTATGACACATTTATTCAAAACTATTTTTTTGACCATAAAAAACCCCAAACTGGTACACCTGTGACAATTTTACCTCGAACATACCACAAAAAACCCCAAACTGGTACACACGTGACAATTTTACCCCAACTAATTTTTAATATTATTTTTTTATTTTTTGAATTTTTTTTTTTTTTTTTTTTTTTTTCTTCACTTCAACCTCGGCTGGTCGCCGGTCGGCCGCAGGGAAGCTGCGAGGGCCGCCCTCGGCGCCGCCGCGAGGGCCGCTCGCTCTGAAGCCGGCGAGGCGCCCTCGCCCTCGCCTGAGTCGGGCAAGGGTCGCCCTTGCTTGGGCGGGCGAGGATAGCCCTCGCCCGACGCCGGCGAGGGCAACCCTCGCCCAATGCAGGCGAGGGTCGCCCTCGCCAGATCCGGCGAGGGCAGCCCTCGCCTGATACCGGTGAGGGCAGCCCTCGCCTGAGTCGGGTGAGGGCGGCCCTCGCCCGACGCCGGCGAGGGCGGCCCTCACGGGCTTCCACCTCTGGCTGGTCGCCGGACCGGCGACCGGCCAGAGGTTGAAGATAAAGAAAAAAAAATAAAAGGAAAAAAATAAATAAATAAATAAAAATTCGAAAAAAATAAAAAAATAATATTAAAATTTTAATTCAGGGTAAAATTGTCACATATGTACCAGTTTGGGATTTTTTGTGGTAAGTTCAGAGTAAAATTGTTACAGATGTACCAGTTTGGGATTTTTTATGGTCAAAAAAATAGTTCGGAGTAAAATTGTCACAGGTGTACCAGTTTGGAGTTTTTTATGGTCAAAAAAATAGTTTGGGGTAAATGTGTCACAAGTGTACCAGTTTAGGGTTTTTCGTGGTATTAACCTTTTTCTTTTTTGTCAAGTTGAAGATAGTTAGCTGGCCACAATGCATCAGACAAGTGTCCAACAGTCTCACAGCACGTCAGAAATTCCAAAATTCTCCCAATAATTAACGAATATCGCAAAATCGTACCCTCCCTTTTTTTTTTATTCTCCAAAAAAAATTGGCTCGCCACGAATATAACTGTCGCTGCCCCCTAATAACCCAATAAAATAATTCTAAATAATCCGAAAAAAAAGTGACTATTTTAGCCTTATCCATAATAAATAAATAAATAGTTTATCCTGCTCCACCCAATCACCGCGCACGCTCTCCGTCGCAGCAGCTGCAACAGAAACCTTCCGTTCCCATGACCGACGCTCCGGCTCCGCGGCACCAATGGCGCTGACTCCTCCGTCGCCGCAGAGCCTCCGGCTCTCGTCCCGCCCTCCTCCGCCCTCCTCCGCCGCCCACCGCCTCCTCCTCTTCCCCGACCTCATCGCCTGCTCCCGGCTCCTCCGCTGCCCGCCCCCTCCATGGCCGCGCCTCCAGCTCGCGCCGCGGCGGAAGAGCGAGGCGCGCCCGTCCCCGGCCGTGAAGTGCACCGCCCGATCGGCGGAGGAGGAGGGCCGGTGGAGCGACTCGGAGACGCTGGTCTCCGACGGCGACGGCGGCGACGGCAGGGTCCCCGGCGAGGACGGGAGCAGCCGGCGGAGGGCGGCGGCGGCCGCGTCCTCGGCCAGCGATTACTTATCTATCGGGATACGCGAACCGGTTTACGAGGTAAATCCGCGCATTGCTTGGTATTCGCGTAGAGTCCTGGGAATTCGGAGTGGATTTTTGGAAATGTGAGAACTTGTTTTCTCTGGATTCTCCAGTTGTGACGGGATCGGTGTGATTGCCAATTTGCCGAACATAGTGTTCCGATTTCATTGGAGCGAAGTTATTCATCATGGTTTTTGACTCGCTTAATTTCCTAACTAGGCCTTTCTGCAGGTGGTGGAAGTGAAGCCGAACGGGATGATATCGACTCGGAAGATCAACAGACGGCACTTGTTGAAGTCAGGTGGTGAGTGAACTAGATCTGGATGGGTATCCTGCTTCATCTTCTTCTATAACTCAGATTTTGTAGAATCACTGGCCATGGTGATGCGATGGGTTCGCTCCTTGTGCACATGTCTCTTGTGTCTCATCTCAGTGGCCCGAAATAGCTACGCACTTTGATCTGATCTTTGGCAAAGTGTATCTCATTATTGTCACTCGTATTCAGCCCTTGTTTGATTGGCCCGGTCCGTCTTTTCCCGTCATTGTGGATTTATTCATTGCTGAATTTGTATATTCTGTTTGTCTCTGACTACTGGTTTTACTATCAGGCCTTCGTCCACGAGATATACGAAGTATTGATCCATCACTCTGGCTGATAAATTCGATGCCTTCTTTGCTGGTATGATCTTATGACAGCTTTAATTTCTGTTGCCTGATTGATTTATTTGATTAGTAAAGGTCTGCAGAGAAGTGGCCATATATATAGCATGTTTAAAGGTTTAATCAAATGTAACAGTCTCTCACCGAATTATGCAATCTTTTAAATGATTCATGGTGCCAAAAATATGCATTTCTATTTGGACTGCAAATATTGGGTTAATGGGTCAGTCCGTCTGTCTTTTAACTTCTCACCCCCTTCTCTAAGTTGACTGGTCTGTTTATCTTCTCAGTTCAATCATGTAAGTGTAACATATACTTTTCCCACTGTTCAGAGAAAAATGATGCATTATACTTATAAAGGCTATTTCATTTTAGGGTAGTAGAATATTCTCTTGTGATGACCATATGCAACAAGTGGCTCAATCGTGTATCCTGCACCTTGTGCTTGGAGCAGACTGATTTTTGTCTCGATAATGTTTGAACACAGGGATGGTGAATGAGGCAGATGAAGATGGTAGTATTTTGGTGTACAGGATTAATAACTCTTTTCTATTAAAGCCTTTAGTATGCTTCCTTCATTCTGGGGTTTTTGGACGGAGTTGAGAGTGTGCAGATTAGAGTTCTTTCCAATATATCACAACTGACAACAAAAGCTGTCCTGACTTGATTGGGATATATGACATTACCAATATATGTTTCTCTGGTTTGTATGATCATGTACTAGGTCCGTGAGCATGCCATTCTCCTTAATTTGGGATCATTACGGGCAATAGCAATGCCAGAACGTGTGCTCATATTTAATTATAACAGGTAAGGTGATGCTTCTTTTAGTCCACCTTATAATAATTTTTCTCAATGAGCTTACGGTTAACATCTATCATTGATCAATTACAGTAGAGGAGGAAAAGCCTTCATAGACTCATTGTTGCCTCGATTAAACCCCAATATGAATGGAGGGCACTGTATGCCTTTTGAGCTTGAGGTCAGTTTGTCTTCTATTTTTCCTGATATGCGTACTTAGAAGAAATGGTCATCTTGTAAAAAAATCTTTCTGGTATCTCTAAGAATATTATGTTCATTCAACTTGTCCTTTTTGAGATAGCAGTTTTTTCTGTGCCACAGAGTCTTTGCGTACAGCCCAGCAAATGTGCGTACCCATCTATTCAGGGGGGTGGGAGCATGACAGGGTTTTTTAGGTTGACATATTTAGATGTGGAGGTTGGCAGATAACCAAACCTTTCTTGTCAGAGGATGCCATGTTCTTCCGAGTCTCACAGAAAAACAAAACAAAATAAAAGTCGAGAGAATAATATGGATAGTCGCAGAGTATCTGTGAGCATTGTGAATCGTGATTTTATAAGTCAACTGTTTACCACTAACATAATTTCAGTGAGAGTCGTGAGGTAAGTTTATCTCTGTGTTTTTATATCACATGAAATAATCTCATCTTGTGCCCCGAATAGTAGCATTTTCTGTACCTTAATTGTCTAACTAGGCCAAATTGCAATTTTCTTGAAGCTCTGTTGTACAATTTGATGTTTTAGCACATTTCTAACGATGGTGGTGCTTTTAGGTTGTTGAAGCAGCCTTGATTTCACGCATACAGCGTTACGAGCAAAGACTGATGAATCTAGAACCTCGTGTGAGTTTGAGAACACAGTGCTCTTTCCTTTAAATCTCCCGGAGATTGCGATAGTATCCCTCAGCATGTTCTTACATAACTGCCTGTTACACGTGAAGATTTGACCCTCAATTCAATATTCTGCCTTTGGTAGTAAAATGCCAGAAAAGCATGCTCTACTTTGTCATTTACAACTTTTAGGCACAATACGTATTTCTTTTGATATACACACAAACTTGCCTGCAAACATACTCATGAAATCTTTATTTAAAACGGGTGATTGATCAGATAGTTCTTTCTTGGGTATTTCTCATTATTGGATCCCTGTTTACCTTCCCCATTCAGTTTTTTCCACTCTCGAGTTTTTTCCATAAAGTGTATGAGTTTGATTGGGTTTCTCTGAATTGTCATCGTAATTAGACTACGGTGGCAACTTAGAGTTCACACCTTACTAATGTCCTAACTGCGGTTGATGTTCTGAATCTTGGTTCAGGTTCTATCTTTACTTGAGGTTTTACCCAACAGATTGACAGCTGATATCCTAGAGGAACTCCGTCTTAGCAAGCAGATGTTGGTACTTGTCTACTGTGTCACTTGAAAGGTTGACTGCCCTTATTGACTAGGAGAACCTTCTGGTTTTCTTATTTTGTCGTTACTCCAATGACAGGTTGAACTGGGTTCGAGAGCTGGGGCTCTGAAACAGATGCTTCTCGATCTTCTAGAGGATCCTCATGAGATACGCCGCATTTGTATTATGGGAAGAAATTGCACACTTACGAAAGGGAATGATAATGTGGAATGTTCTGTTCCTCTTGAAAAACAGATTGCTGAGGGTATGGCACTGGAATATATCTGTATAAGCCATTAGTATAATGTGCAAAGTGTGCATTTTACTTTAAGTGAACAAAGAGTTTCTACTTACCCCTCTTCTGGACTTGATTTGATATCGCAGAAGAGGAGGAAGAAATTGAGATGCTTCTGGAAAACTACCTGCAAAGGTTATTTCCTTGATTTGAATCCATGCCATACAAAATCATCATTTATTTATGGTAGAGGGTGCACCTTTGTGTTTTTATCTGCTCTTCTCGATTCATTTCTATCATAGCTCTTGGCACTATTTGCAAATGTTTAAATTATACACTCCGTAAACTATGAGTTGACTTTGTACATAGTAAACTTGCACTATCATTTGCTGTGCGGCTGAAATTGAGACCAGAATCAGAGAGATCATCTTAGATCTGAGTTCTGTAGCTACTTACTAACTAGTGTTATATTAGCAGAAAATTTTGGTTATCCACCATTGAGAAAGGAGTCATTCATGTTATCACTTTGAGGTAGTTTTGGTTTTAGAATTAAACTATTTGGATCACAGTAACGAGGAAATGGTTGCTTATAAGCAGTGGAACCTGAAATTAGCATAGGATGCCAATGCTATTTTGGATGGTCTAAATACACCAAAGTTTTAAGTCTTTAGTTTGGGGCTAAGAGGTCTAAAAAATGGTCAAAGAAACTGCTCCAACAGATGACAAGAAGTTTTGATACCTTAATTATGAGACATATGGTGTTTGGGTTGGGTGGCCTACAAAGCATACTGTTGCCCTTGGGACCAAGAGTTTGGGATGTTGCCAAGGTCTCACTTAAAGAGACAGTTCCTTGAATGTCGTCATTTATGCTTTTGGGAAGGAAAACAAAAAACTTTTGAATTCTTTACCATACTAGTTTAAGGTCCTGTACGCCGTATAAGTGATTGTTCTTTTAAAGTCCTAAGGAGCCCTCTTACTAAATCGCACTGTTAACCTTATCTGCATGTTGAGTTAAATATATTAATGCACAACAATTAATTGCACATAAGCAATTTTGCCAATTTGAATCTAAGCCTGGTTTGTAGAAAGCCTATGTCTCTCGAAGTGCATAATAAAATAAATGACAGCTGCAACCTTAAATGTTGGGTTATCCATTATTAAACGAGGGTCACAGAAAGCAACTGACTGAATTTTCCCTTGAAGTTTGGATTAAAAATTCATACATGCAAGAGAGTCTTTCTTTGACAGGATAAATATTAAGAGTACTGGTGCTATCTAGTCTCGTGTCTGGAGGATTTGCTTAGTTCTGATGATTAATATTACCTTTCAAATGGAAGCAGGGTAGCCTTTCGATTAGAGACGATGGCTGCTGACCTTCTGATTCACGGCTTGTGCGGGACAAAATTTTCTGTTACTTTTTCAATCAAACTTTTTTTGATCATCTTCAATTAGTCTAAACAATGCTTCCTTGGTGGTCATATCAAATCTAAATTTTCTTGGAAATTAACTGGATCAAGAAAGTTTGTCACAATAAGCTACTCCTTTTACAAGGTACCGTCGAGCGGCTTTGCTTACTACCGCATCTACTATCGCAGGTGTGAATCTTGTCATGTTCAAGCTGAAAGACTCCTTGATTCTGCCAAAGAAATGGAAGACTCTATTGCTGTCAATTTAAGGTCCGAGAGATATTTGCATTTTCTATCAGTTCGCCACTAATTTAGTTTCTGTAGTGAATTGATCACTGCATTATTCCTTTGCTTTTTGCAGTTGACTTTGTCATTCTCTAGTAATACTAGCATTGCAAAAATGCCAGTGATTAGCACCTCCATAAAGCTTGTGAATTGTTTGATTCCACATAACATTGTTTACCACAAATTATTTATTGGACTACCAGAACATGTTATTCTCCATATTAGATTGATGGACTAAGAGCATGCTCAACTTGAAAACTGAATGCATCTGCAAATTTCATTGTCATGTGTAGTGCAACTAAATTGTGAAACTTGCTTTTCCCTTCACTCTTTCAGCACTGCTTTTGTTGTGGTTGGATAGTGGAAATCAGCCCATATTTCTGGAGTTATGAAATTTTGACTTCTTTCTTCATCAGCTCTCGGAGGCTTGAAGTCAGTAGGGTGGAGTTGCTTCTTCAGGTTGGAGCATTTTGTGTGGCAGTTGGTGCATTGGTTGCAGGTACTTTTCCATACAGTTTTGCACAAACTTGCTTAGTAAGAGTCAATTATACCGTCATTGGAGATTGTCACGTGATGTTGCATGATCTGTTAACCACACAATTGTAAGAACCAATAAGAATGTAAGAACTGTATCGAAACTTGTGTTGTTTTAGTGATACTATCGTGATCCCCAAGGATTCTTGGTATATGGTTGGTTTGGTCTGGTAGAATGAATTTAGGCCACTCTTACTCATTCTTCAGGCTTTCATTGTGTTTTCTTTCATTTATAACCACAATTCTTTACTTCTGCTTTTCTGAGAAAAGCGAAACAGAACATCCATTTATTTTTATCGCATATGCATCTTAGACTGGTTATTGATCTTATAGAGGATGTAGTAGCACAATGAATTAATAAGTTTCATATAGCTGAACCACTTAATAGGATAGAGCTTGTTTTATTTTTTGCTGTTAGCGCTACTGCTGCATGCATCTTAGATTGGTATCATAATTGTCACCCGTCATTATAGAGCTTTTCATCACTGGTCATTTTAATCCTGCTAATAGAAAGAGCTTTTCCTATTATGCAGGTATTTTTGGCATGAATCTGAAGTCCTATCTAGAAGAACATGTGGTATGCAAAGCTATCTAAGACACCTGTCCCTTTGTGTTTTCCCTATTGTTTCACTGATTGTCCCTGGGGTATGATAGTTTTCTATTTTACTTGATGCAGTTCGCATTTTGGTTGACAACTGCTGGAATTATTTTTGGTGCTGTTGTGGCTTTCTTCCTTATGTATGCATATCTCAAGGCAAGGAAAATACTGTAACTCGGATACCAATTCTTGGTGAGTGAGAAAATTTACTCCAACTCATCTTGCATTGAACTAGGTATGATATGTATGGTTTCGCCATAACTTGAGGTGCTCCTTGGGAGTTGTGGACCCATTGAACTGATGATAACATTTCAGTATTATCGGTCAAGTGTAGTCTCAGTCCCAGTGTGGCTGATCATCCGACAAGACCAGCTAAGCATCATTGGCTTGGCAGGTAAACGAACTTAAGATAGACCCACATTCATTTCATGATCTGGACCTAATTTAACTTGCATACCCCGCATGTTCTGTGTCTTGAGTCTCAGAACATAACCTTCTCTGATGTTATTTGCAGGTCACATGGAAGGGGAACTCGAGATGTTGTCCTTTGGTTGTTATGAGAGAACCAGCAAGCATTACAAGAAACATAGAGGAAGATCTCTTCTCGAGCGGTCAGATCCTTCTACTCTGGAACTTGCTTGCGCTTTGCAGAATGCGGATTGTTAGTGATGTTCCAAAACCTCCCCAGATAATAATTGTTTGCCTTAAGTAGGCGTGTCCTTCACAGTAACTATAAATGCGCAGTCAGATTGCTGCCGCAATACATGCTCCTAGTCGCTTGCTGTGAGGCAGGAGCTACGGTCATGCATTTGATAGTTATCTCCCACTTCCATTAGTCTTAACAGATGTAGGGGACCAATGAGCCAGTCCTCATTTAGCGATCCCGTGGGATGTAATGTGCCATTATTTAACCAGGATCAATTCTCAGAATAAAACCATAATTCTGCCGGTTTCTATGCGACGGCACCGTGATGATATAAGCTGCAAAAGTTTAGTTAAATAAGTCAATTCTTCTTTCATCTTCTCTTGCTTATTCATCAGTCAAATGCCAAGAAGTTGCATTTGAATCTCTACGAATGTCAATGTGAGGCCCGACGTCCTGTTGAGTATACAATGATGATTATTAGCAAACGATGCTCATTTGTGATATCTGTTTGGTTATTGATATTCTTTCCCTAACGTTTTGGCAAAGGGGAAGCGGGCATGAGGGCAAAGCTGCATGAACCAAGATGCTTCCGGATGAGCACTACCGTGTCTGAGCGAAAACGACAGCATCTTAAGTGCAACAACATGCCTAAACTGTAAAATGAAAATGCTTTCGAGACATTTTAAAATTTTAACCAGATTGCCACTTTTGCCGGCAATAAGTACAGTTGACAAACAAAACACTACTCGCGCCGGTGTCTGACAATGTCTTATTGCCTTTATTCTACGTTAACGAGCAGATATATACCAAGAATTCACCTTGTTCACTGTATGTCACAGAAATACGGTCATATGCTTCCAGTAATCCAGATGGTAGCAGATTTTCTCAGACGTCGCCCGGTTTGTCCTTGAACAGCAGCACCAACGCATCTTTGCTTTGGTCGTTGATGAATGAAGGATAAAGAATGATCGATCCCTCTATCGGGAAACACGGGGGCTCAGCCAGCTATGCACCTCCAAATCTGGGCTCAACACGGGCTTACTCGGGTCCGCCGTAGAGTTGAGATCTTCTTCCCGCGACCTTGCGCTTTCACATTATTGATAAAAGATCTGTAGCAGTTGTCCTCGACACTCTTAAACGGATTAGCTGCGTAGCACAGTGGGTTGCAGAGGAAATCCTCGACCATGTCCATAGCCTTACGAAATGCGCATAACACGAGGTTCCCAAACCAGTCATCAGGCACATTTGGGTTCAGCCAATTTCGACAATTGACCGCGATTCGCAGCTGCGTAAAAGATCAGATTTTACACAGGATAGCTTTGATGATCGACCGTGCAAGTTAGGTATGTTGGTTGGATTACCTATAATTTAAATTATCCTCGTGTAAAAGCTAGACACTACTTTTAACAAAAGTATCTTATCAACCCCGCAACACATAGGTATGAACGATCTGCATATTCAATATCGAAGGAAGTAAAAAAATTGAAGTAGATTTCTGAAACATTCGGTTGTATGGATATGACATCGGAATCCAAATTTCCGATTTGCCTAATCCCATAAACATATAAACGTTAGTAACCGTAAAAAATAATTAATGATTTTATAAAATTGCCAGTGAGTTACTAACAAGTTATTGAGAAATTAGTCGGCCGGTAACTTTTTTTACCAACTCTGATAGATATCTATTAGCACGGGAAAAATTCATCTTTTTTGGAAAATGGAACAGTATGATCGTCGTATTGCATCATTTCCAAAAAGACGGCTCGATGCTTCAGTTCCATCTTAGCTCGATTTTAGTCACACTGGTCCTAAATTTAGCCACTTTAGCAATCACCAATTGCCACAAGAATTCCTTAATCTCTATCCACACCCTGAATTGATTCATAGCTTTCTCCATAAGTTTAGCTGCTCGTTTGGTCATCTGATTATGTTAGCTCTTTCAAGTTTTGGTGATAGCACGGTAGCACCTACTGACCGCTGAAAAAGGGTCACCAAATTGACTCGGTACAAACGCGCTTGCTCATTGAGTTATTCATCTTGTAGAACGAACGAAATTGAGTTCCTAGGTTAACATATTTTTGAAAGTCTTCTCGACTTATCTCACAAGAAACCTCGGTATGACCGATAGACCTCTGTTTGCATTGCGAAAAAAACGATATCTAGATTTGTGTCATCCTGCATTAGCTTAGAACAACTTTCTCAATTTCAATTCATAGCTAAACAAGACTACCATCGCCGTAATGTCAATGTCATAGAGTCTCGGAGTTGAAGTTTCCTTCGAGAAAAAAAATGGAATATCGATTTATGACGTATGAATAAACTGTATCTAAATGTCATCTACAACACCTGCCTATATCACAAGCCTAATGAACCATGAATCTACACTGACTGAATGAATAAATATGCTGATCCTCGAAATGAAGAACTGCAAAACTATGGTACACCAGTGCAGCAAAATGGCCGCAAAATAAATGATCAATCCGTCTCGCTTGCTACTGTGTGAGTATGAAATCAGCAGCATAAATATACCATGAAGAAATGACCGCAGACCACTTCCCATGGTGGATACTATAGGAACAAGAGAATGCCGAGTGTTAACATCATGATCGGTGTAAACGATTGGTAAGGCATGCTTCTAGGTGAGCTACTATCACTCAGCTGTCCTGCATTAACGTATTCGTTTGCACCGGTGTTGCTAGTTGTGGACACATTCACGGACAGCGAACCTAAAAAGTAGAGTGTAGGTCAGCTCAAGCAAAGCTAAGAAAAAAAGTAAACCATATTCAGATTCAAATAGAAGCGCGTCATGTAAAATGACCCCGTCAATGAGTTCTTCGGAGTACGGTTCTGCTGAGGCATGTGCATGCATGTCTTTAAAAGTACAAACATATCTATCACATGCGGTGAGACACTTCCATCTATTGAGTTCTGAGAAGTTTCGGTTTGGAAAAAACAAAATAATTAAATGCAAATTATGTTTGATACCTCCTATAGAACTAAAGCTAAAAGTAACAGATTAGGGTACAGTAACCGATTAAGGAACGGGTTAGTAACTTACAGTCGTAATTGGTCCATCCGATCCGTTGCCCAGCCAGATCATAGACGATGATTTTGTTTTGTAGAACAAGGTCTGAAAATCGCAATATTGGCTCTATCATTAGACTGGTCCACCAGGTTGAAATCAATTACACAGTTTGATAGTAAACAAGAGTAAGAGTTGCACAAAGGCTATGGTAAATCTGACTTAATATCAGGGAGATAAAATGAACAACAAGAACAGCGAGACATAATCCGTCTTTCTTTCAAGGGGAACAAACGTAAAAAGTGCAAGGAGCATGGGGAAAAAAATGAAACCCATCAAGCGATATCATGGCTAAATAAAGAGAACCATTTCTATTTCGTGTAAAATATGCAAGAAAGGCGATTCTCATGATAACTAGTCCGCTTACTCAGCACTTGTGCTCAATTGAAAAGCCGTGCCTTTTGGGAATTGACTAACTAACTGGGAAGCTGGAAAGTCGTCAGTTCATGGATCCTTGTGTAGGCTTCTATTCAACATAGTGAAGCTCATGACTTTAAAATGTGTGGCAACATGCGAACTGGCAAAATTATTATCTTCACAACAAAAGTAGAGCTTCCCTTAGTCCTGACTTTCTATGAGGTTGCGTTTGTCAGTCGCCATAATGCACACTACTTTGCATTCTATTTAATGAATATAACTCCACAATCTAAAACTTTCGTAGCTAATAAGTAAGAGGGAAAAAAAGGCTTTTTGCAGGGTTGTGTACCTCCTAGAATTGTAATGTCTTGCCCCTGAACTTTTGAAAAGCCAATGCACCATATTTCAGTACCACCCTGAAAGAAAAGAAATAGAATTCAGCTAAAAAGGGAAAAAAGAATAGAGAAACAAGAGAGACATATTAATGTTGCACCTTCCAACCACATTAATGTCAAATTGCGCCGACTTGGAAAACAACTTTTTTCATCACAAGAGTAAATGGGAATGCATGAAAGGTCAAATGACTGTAGTCATTAGTGGCATTTTCATTGAACTGAAGTGGCAGACTAGCTGACCAATCCATGAACAGTTAGCAGTTACAACTTCGTTGCGGAAAAGATAGTATCAAGAAAGCGTCAAAAACTTCACAAAGCAGAAGAGATATCGTTCTCATCCACTCACCCCAGTTTGCTGCGGTAACATATAATCCTGAGCACTTAGTACCATGGAAGCCCCTCCCTCAAAATTTAAGCTAACTTGTGGGAACACATCCGTGACACTAGACGTAACCGAAGACCATATATTAGTCCACCGAAACCGATTGAAAAATTACAGAGACTTGTAAGAAAATGAACCTGGATGTGATGACGTAACAGTAATTTCCCTGGGAAGGATAAGTCTGAGCAGTCTGAGAAACAGCGTTCGCAATCTGAGCAGAAAAATTTACACAACTATATGAATCAGTGGTCGTAGTCATTTTTCTAAGTAATAGCAATCGATATCAGTTGCTGGAGACTTCCTAATTTAGAAACTTGTTGATTCAGTTGACAATTATTTATTTTGTCTTTGGGTGGATCGAGTTCTGTTGTAAACTTATTGTTGCCTCGAAACTTACGGCGGCAACAAAAGGGTTAAAAGCTCCTTCGGCAAGGTATGCCAGTGTCGTCCCTGAATCTATTATAGTCCCTTGGCTGCTTGATGTTGAAAATACTGACGAGTCAATAGCCAGTTGTTGCCCACCCACTGAAATGCTTTGCAGATTCAAATTGTAATGAGGCCTGCAACAGAGAACTTGGGTCAAGTGATTACTCCATGAGTAGATGATAAATTCTCATATAACAGCAGCTGTTAGTGAAATCAAAGCACTTGGTTGCCGATGCAACTTCTCATAAACTAAGAGACGACTTTCATAACAACCAAAGCAGCAGCAGCAGCAGCAACAGCAGAAACACAACATGCATTTACCATAACATGCCATTATCCTCGTTCCACAAACGGTTCAACAAACATGAGAATAATCGTCTTGTCACTGTAACTGCAAATCAGCTGAAGAGAAATTTCCGAAAGACCCTGACCAATTCCACAAATTCAACCAACTACCATGTGCAAGCCTGATTGTTTTTACCATCATAAAAGGCCAAATATATCCAATGATCACATTCTCAAGAAGTTGTCAGAAGTTATCAGTTAAGACTGTCTTACATATGCCTGAAATTCACAACTCAACGTTTATCATTTCATGACTCAGGTTTTGAATAATCAATAACAATTCCATGTGAGAAAAGTTTAGCAAACAGAAGCGCTAACCTAGATATAGTTTACGAGTTTCAGGGAAGATGAGGAAAGAGTACATCGCGCTACAGAAATATGGTAAGCAAATCTATTCCTCTTCAGTCCTTTTCACTTGATAGTAAACTTGTATTCTCTGTTTCACATAGGCTGTATAAATTACCAAAGTTGTTAAAGCATATACTGAATAATATTAGCAAGACAAGAAGCAATCAGAGTTGAACAACGAAAATGTGTAGGCATGTTAAAACTTTTCTAATTCAAAATGTCTAAAGACTTCAAATTAATTTTGTAATAACGGTACAATTTGTTCCTATAATTTCCCTATTCTGTTGATTAGCTACATAACAGGTACCGCAAGCACTAAATTTACCAAATCCAGAAATCCACATTATTCAGTTATAGCGAACAAATCATGAATAACTTCCGAGATACAATCTATCGAGGTTTTTTCTAGTGAATCAAAACCAAAAAAGTTATAGAAAAAGAATGCTTGAAAGTTGAATATAAGAATTTTGAAGTGAGTGGACATACTGTGATGGGACGAGTGGACTATAGACTATATTTGGCTCGACGATTTCGCCAAGGACTAATATGCCCCCGCCATTCCCACTTCCGCTCAAGCAATGTGAGAACACTTTGGGTGTTACTCCCTGTGAAGCCAGCTGAGAAATAACAGACATACCCTGCTGCCCAAACCCAAAAATCCCAGCAACTGCCCTATCTGTTTTCGTCAATTCCCCACTTACTGCGGTGCCGCACCTGTTTCATAATTCACTATATAATTGGAAATAAAAAGAAAAACGAAACGAATCCCCCGAGAAATTTGACAAGCAATAACACAATGCTGCATCTTAAATCCAGAATTACCCAAAGACAACGGAAGCTGAGGAATTAGCAGACTGAGAGTTCCCCAATACCGTGTTGAAATGCAACTGGTCAGACACATAATAGCCCGATGCCCCACTACCATCTCCGTATTGGAACGAGAAACTGCAAGACTGTGAAGAGCAGACTGAGTCCGACGATTGAATCCCTTGGACGCAAAGTTTGTCTGAGCAAGAGATCATCGAAGCTGTCTTTGAGCTCGACGGATCGAACGAATTGAGCTGAATCTGTAGAGACATGCTTAAATAGTCAATGCCAAGTGGCTGCCTTTTTGCATATCATGTATGTGGAGAGGAAGGTGTGAATTGTACTCACAGGAAGTCCACTTTTTCCAGGACAGCCACTACAGGAGCTACAACTAACCCACAGAACATCACTTCCTGTATCAATCTGTACATAGTAATCTTTTGGGGGGTTGCCCAGTTGCACTTTTGTGTAATAAAGCCTACACATAATCCACCGAAAAAAAAACATCCACGATGAGCATGACCACAATAAACAATTCCAATCCATGCTAAGCATAACTGAAATAAGAAAAAAAAAACAAAAGGAGAGAATTGGGGAATTTCCAAATGAAACCAATGCCCAACTTAAAAACAGTTGAACACAACGCAGAAAGAGAATGCGAGCGAAACACCCCGACCATTGGATTCATTCACTAAGAAGGAAAGAAATAGAAACTTTCGGACAAGGAAAGGACCGCTTGTATCCCGAGAAACCAAATCAAAAGCTGTGAATTTCACGACTTATGACCAACATCAAGAGAAACAGAGAGATTGAAAACTTTGAAGAGAAAAAATTCAGAAAAAGTACCCGACAACGTAAGGATTATAAGTGCCATCGACGGGAAAATCCACGACCCCGGTGGAGGACTGCAACATCCGGCCGTGCCTGGCTCTGTCCCGGGCAATGAGCTGACTCATCTCCGCGCGACCCCTCACCGGAAAAGCCCGCTCCAGCGTCATCGCCGCCGGGAACCCGCCGCACACCGCCGCCGCCGACGCCAGCGCCGCGACGGCGATCAAGAACCCGGCCGCCGCAGCCGCCATTACAGACTTATATACTCCCTTCTCTCCCTCTCCCTCTCTCTCTCTCTCTCTCTGTGGACGAACCCAACAAAGCAAATCAATCAAGAAATCTCGAGGGCCCACGTTCTTGGTGCCCGGGCGACAAGAATTCGGATTGGGGAGCACGAATTCGAGGCCGGTGTGGGGGATCCTATAAAACAAGAAAGCAGGAATGGAAAACGTCCAAGAAAGAGAGAGGGTGGGAAAAGAGGAGGAGGAAGAAGGAGGAGGAGGAGGGAATGTGACAGAGGAACAGAAGCTTCGGCAATGTGAGATCACGTTACGTGGGTTCCTGAGATTATATATACATATATACACGACGTTCTATCTATTCATCGCTGTTCCTTACGCGAGCTCCCGCGGATTTCTTTAACATTTTCTCCTCCTCCTGATGATCTTCTTCTTTGAAAACCTTCTCCCTTCCGCGTCGCGTCACCCGCACGCGCGCGTGTCCCCCACGCGCTCTGACGCGCGTTGGAAACTCGAGCGAAAATAAACAACCTCGGTTGGTGTCGTCCTGTATGGTAACGTAAGAACGATTATTTATTGTTATTTTTTTTTATTATTTATGTACTCTTTTAAGATCCAAAAAAATAGGATTTAACCGTCAGCGTAGTTACTTGCCCGCGCATTTAAAACTCACTAATCACGAGGATAATTTATTAATTAAGAAAATTAATTTTCCTTTCGGGAAGTTATTAATTAAAAGGTTAATGCCACGAAAAACCCTAAACCAGTACGCTTGTGATAAATTTACCCTAAATTAATTTATTAATCACTAAAAACCCAAAACTGATATATTTGTGACAAATTTACCCTCCGTTAAATTGAATTAATACAAAATAAAATCACAAACTAGTACACCTGCGACAAAATGGTAAAACCTCAAACATGTATATTCGTTAACTGCCACGTGTCATTTAACTCAGTAATTTAATGGTTAAATTTAACAAAAATTAATGGAGATTAAATTTGTTATAGGTGTACCAGTTTGGGGTTTCTCGTGGTGTTAATCTTTAAACAAATGAAGGGTTTTTAGTTATTGGTAGATGAATATTTGCCTTTTGTTTCTACATGAATTCAATGAACTTAGGAGAATAGAATGGGATCTCTCTTTTGAACAAAAAAAAAAAAAGTAATTTTGGGAGCACTTAATAAATTTTTTCTCAATAAACTAGCACAAAAAAGTTGTTGCCTTTAAGTCAAATTATATCGACCCATTATCTCTTAGTCAATTACTATCATTCTAGCTTTGCACTGACAAATGAAGTAACGCTTGATTATGTAATTAATTAAGAAAAGAGTAATGCTTAATTAAGAAGGCAACTTTAACCAAAAAAGGTGGGGGTACCCACTTACCATCTCACAAAGTTGAATCAAAATAGTCTCATGGTGGATTTAGAATATGCGGATCATAAATTTTAATCGAGAAATTAAGTTGACCTGATTCCCCTTTAGTGAATTTGTTACATGATGAGAATTTCCCTAATAAAAAGAGAATTTGCGTTTTTTTCTTTGGTAGCTCACGTTTTTTTCTTCTTGGCTAGGATTTATAACATGCATATGATAAATTATGATTGAGAAATTAAGATGACCTAAATTCCCTTTAGTGAATTTGTTATATGTTGAGAATTTCCCTAATAGAGAAGAGAATACGGTCCCCGAATTTTCTATTCATTCAATGCGATCCTTGGACTTTTGATACATGTTCAATTTAGTTCTTGGATTATATGAAAGTATTCAGTGTTGTTCCTGAACTTGAATTAATAAAAAAAATATTGAATATCTTCACATAGTTCAGGGATTTAATTGACCGTGTATCAAAAGTTCAGAGACTACACTGAACAAATTAAAAATTTAAGGAATCAGATTACACATTGGAGTAAAGTTTAGGGACCACATCAAATAAATTAAAAGTTCAAAACTATATAAGCCAAAATTTAGAAACAGTTTCTATCCTTGGCCCTTTTTTCTTTGGTAACTCACGTTTTTCCTTCTAGGGTTGGATTTTGGTTGGCCCTACCAAATCACTTTCTATTAAATTATTAAGTAAAAATATCAATTTTTTTTAATAAATTGGTGGCAGGAGATGATGGGTGGCCCATTGAACACTACTGAACGCCAACATCTTCTCGCCAAAAAAAAGCCACATCTGCCAAGTTTTCATCTGCTTTTTCCTCTTCAAGTGCTTTTCCTAACTTTTCACGAAGCCCGATGCAATAATTCACTCTTTGGTTGGCTTTTAAAATAAAGATAGAGACAGAATCTCACCCTCCACAATTCTCTTTCTTTCTCTCTCTTTTTTTTTTTTCGTTTTTGTTTTATTTAGTATCGAATTATTGTCCTTAGCGACTACGGAAGCTGGGGGGTCTGGCCTGCTCCCCAAATGAAATAATTTATTATTTTTCCTAAAAATTTAATGTAAAAAGTGTAATGGTTAAAGAAAAATAATAAAAAAAATAAGAGTTTTGTAGTTGATACCTATGAGAGCCTCCACATTTTAAATGACGCGGAAGTTGGCTCGAGACGCCGGCGAATGATTCCAGAAGATGGGGTCGTTGACCACCGGCCGCGAGACAAATTTGATCTTTTAAAAATTAAGGGATAATGATACAAACAGTCCATGAACTTTGACCAATGTGCAATTTTATCCCTGAACTTTTAATTTGTTCAATGTAATCCCTGAACTTTAGCATGATATTCAATTTGGTCCTTGAACTTTTAATCTGTTCAATGTGGTCCCTGAACTTTTAGCACATGTTCAATTTAGTCCCTGAACTATATGAAAATGTTCAATGTAGTCCTTGCACTTGAATTAATAGAAGGACTACATTGAACATTTTCAAATAGTTCAGGGACTAAATTGAATACATACAAAAGTTCAGGGACCACATTGAACAAATTAAAAGTTCAGGGACCAAATTGAATATCAGGCTAAAGTTCAGGGATTACATTGAACAAATTAAAAGTTCAGGGACCAAATTGCACATTGGGTCAAAGTTCAGGGACTGTTTGTGTCATTTTCCCAAAAATCAAATTTGATACAATTACATTAGGTCCTTATTTCCCCGAATAATCTTTCCACATTTTTATTTCGAAATTCATGCATAAAAAACGGACTTCTTTCCCTTAAGTGCGATACGAAAAGTTATCGCTAAAATATACTGTTCAACACTTTCACCTGAAGCCATCGGACACATTGCATGGTAACTTGTTCGATATTTCCAAAAACATTAAATATCGAGCATGGCGACAACTTTTCGGACATTAAGGAAGTGTCATATACACATTTGAATTTCGTATTTTAGTAAAGACAAAACAATACTATTTTTTGAAAAAAATGTGTTAGCACAAGTGAAGTTATCGCATTTCTTGCCACCATGAAGTCGGGTAATCGTGGCGATTTTCGGAGTCGATAAAATGTGCATTGTTCTTATCGTCCTTAGATGTTATATTCGGCATATACTATATCCATAAGACAAACTTCCTCCCTTGTTATAATCTGCAAGTACAGTTTTACAGGTGCTTGAAAACTATGTAAACATCGCCGTTCTTAACTTATAATGTTGTTATAATGATTCGTGATGATCTCTCCAATGCTTTGCCAGCATCAAATCATTATTTATTTATTTGATTATTGTTTCTCTTCATCTTGTTCACCTAAACATGGCCAGGTTCTCCTAATCGAAGTCAACGACCCACCGCGGTGACGCCACATTGCATGGGACGACATCGACATTGCATCATACGTATATTTCCACCGCCACGTGCGTCATTGCTTGTGTAATTTTGGTCAAAATTTTCTACAGCCACGTATTCGATTCACACATTGTTCGAAGCAAATACGACCGCTAAGGGGACACACAAAATTTTAAGGGAAATTGTGCAATTAGTCATAAATCTATTACACGGATATCAATTCAGTCTTAAACTTTTCAATCTCGCCAATTTAGTCCTAAAATTTTGCCCGGAATTTCAATGTTGTTCTTCTGATGAATTTTCGCTGGAAATCGCTGACGTGACGATCTAGTCATTGCCAGCCGTCCTAAATTAACATCCGTACACTGCCGTGTCAATAGGTCTACGACAGATTGGACAATTTCCCATTAAATTTTTACTTGATTCATGATACCTCGTGATTTTCGATTGACAAAAGTTCACAATTACATTAACCCCATAATACCAGAATCTTCGAGCAATTTGGGGTTTGGGTACACAATTGTCTTAGCATGGAAAGAGTCAACGGTAGATTTTCCGGGGTATAACTCGGCTTGCCAATGGACGCGTTCATATTTTGACTTCTAGACTAGGACAAAGACGTGCGTAGAAACACACAACTTATGAAAAAGATATCTTCAATCTATTCCCACATTACGAAAATAAAAATAAAAATAAAAACAAAGAAAAAATATTTTCTTTTTCTTTTTTTTTTCCCTTTTATCCCCTTTTACAAGATAATTGATAATATCAACATGGCATCGCACGAAACGACCAACTTCGCAGATAATTAATTGCCAACTTTATTATTAATTAATTTTTTTTTTATAATTTCGAGATGTTGGAGAACATTCCACCAAATGTCTTTGCGATATTAAGAATTGAGCTCGTTAGGATCTCACATTATTTAGTCATAGTATTAATACGACCCGACTTTACGTGCGCACCCTAGTTACCGCCCAATTAGTTTGACGTTGGCAATTGTTAGTATTATAAAGATACTTTAGTAATATAGCATCACAAAGCTAACAATGATAATAATCGTATGGCCCGTGTATAATAATCTTAGACGAGACTCAGGATCCGTTTGTTTGAGAGAAAGACTGTTTCTGGGAAATTATTCTCCGACTTTCCGGTGTTTGGATGACAGAAAACTAATCGATTTATGGAAAATGTTTTTTCATGGACTGAAAACAACAAGTCTAGATCGGGGAAAAACAATTTTCCATTCTAGTAAGAAGGAAATCACTTTCCCTTTGCGCTGGCTTCGGGCTCCTCTCCCCCCACGAAGGGTAGGAGTTCGAATCCCAGCGCTGGCGTTAGGGATTCTTAAGCGTGACGTCGTGGTGGTGGGTCCTGCGCTAGCGTCACCCCGGGTTTACCTCTTCGGCTGTCGGCCGTGCGGGGGGTTCCCGGGTTACCAAAAAAAAAAAAATCACTTTCCCTTAATCACCGAACAAATGAAAGCTAACTGTTTTCCTTGAAAATATATTAGAAGAAGATGCTAGTATGATCTTCCACATCATCGCGCACAAATAATGTTAGGATTAGTTGCACAAACACAACGAAATAAAGAGTAAAGGGCGAGAAAGGGAAATCTAGACATAATGTTTTATTCTGATTCACCCTTAAACTAGGGCTACATCCAGCAGAGAATTCTACTATAATTAGTACCTTACACTTCTTTGTTATAACCTTCAATTACAAGAGAAATGGATTATGTATACTTAGTATTTATTCATGGGCTCAAGTCCAAATTACCAATAAAATACATGCCTAAGTTATAAAAGCCCTCTGACGTCGCGGGAGCGCTGCCTCCTACGACCCTCGTCGGGGTGGTCCCCCCGGACCCCCTCTCGCTCATCAGAGAGCGGGACTTCCGTGCCTTCTTGTCAATGAGGAGTATGAACCATACCCCAACAAATAATTCATGTTTGTGCCACCAATTTGGCTTTAATTCGTGTCTTACGCGGCTTATTAGGTAATCGTTAAATAATAAAGAAATATTTCATGTCGTTCGACGTTTCATCTACTCAAGGTGAAGCTTTCTTTTCATGACAAAATGAGCACCAGAAAGATTAGTTTCGTGCTTAGACAAGCGAGGGCTACACAGTAGTACTTTATTTCGAGCTTTTCTCCAGTTGTCTTGTTCAAACTAAGTTCCATCTGATTTCTGGTCAAAAGTGAGCGTTGTTGAGATGAAATTCCACTAGATAGCTGCTGCCATGCTTCACAATGCGTTCAACGCTTGAAGCTTCGTCATCAGAGTTGGAGTTGATCGAGTAAAAGGTCGTTTAACAATATGAACCCTTGACCGAGTTAATAAAGTAATAAGGTCGTTTAACAATTTGAACCCTTGACTGAGCATGCTAATGCCATTTGGCACCAAGCCGATACGAGTCGAGCTGCTCGCGGACAGTTCGGGCTTGGTCGAGATCGATTCATCTAATTCGAGTTGACTTTGAGCTCGAGCTACTCCAATATCTTGTCGTATTGCACTTGAGTTTTGCTAATTCTTAGTTTGACGGGTTCGCGAGTCTAATTGAGCCTAATCGAGTTTCTATTATTTTCTTGAAACATTTAACGGTTGAAAATTTCATGGATAGCCTACAAATAATATAATGTACCCACATGATTTGAGCTTTTTGTAAGATTGAGCTCGAGCTCGAGTTTGTTCATAAAGTGATTGGAGTCGTATCGAGGTCTAGTATCTCGATATTCTAGTTGAGTCGAGTTCGAGCAGAAATCTTATTACTTGATTGAGCTCAAGTCGAGTTTCGAGCATCAAACATTGGCGTCGAGTTTAGTCAAGCTTGAGCTTGGCACTATATTGGCTCAACTCAACTCGATCACGCCCCTAATAAATGAATAAATAAATAAAAATTCACTCTCACATTGTACCTAGGCCTGTCAAAGGGTCGAGTCAGGTCGGGTTCGGGTTTGGTTGAAAATGTCACGCCTTTTTAATATTGATCAGCAAGATGAAGCCATGCCCATTGACATTGAGAAATCTATGCATAAACATAATCGTGTGAATGATTTGATTTTCTTCTTTATTTGCAATATTTTTTTTCCGTGATAACTATATTCTTTAGAATCGTAATAGAAAAATCCGTGCGCTTATTTCGCGGAAAAATCACCAGTTTGGAAATGATTTTCTTAACTTTTATCTATTATATCGCTTAGTAAACTGACTAATTGAAAACATCTTTCTAATAACAACACATATTTAAACATTTTTAGTTAACTCATTTTCTAAAGTGACATAAAAGATCAAAGTTAGAATTTTTTTTTCTAAATTATTGATTTTTTAGGAAACAAGTGCACTCTATTGGGCCACATGGTTCGTTCCTCAAAGGCCCAAGCCCAACTAAAGAGCGGGCTCTATCGTTCTCGTTTCTCCGGCATAGAGAAGGGGATAAAGTAATACTTTCGATCGATTGTCTCCTTTCTGATGCGTCAATAATTGTTTTTGATAAATCATTTCGTCCTTTTTTATTTTGAAATATGTCATATTCTGTAAATGATAGAATCATAAACGTGTTTTTTTTTAATTCATTGGATAAACTAATCAGGTAGATTATTTAGGTAAGCATAGGTGATGGGGGTATTGTATGGGAGAAAAATTCACGCAATTCATTATGACGAATAATGTAACCTTTGAGACTAAATTACCCAAGATGGTATAGAACATTTGTATTTATTTAATTACTGACTATAATAGTTTTATTCTTGGCCTTTATTCTCTCACCATATCACCATTTTACGTGGAGTTCCGTATAGTACGTGGCAAGCCACTCTTTCATAATCTCAGCCTCGATTTTGCTCTACTCGACCAACTAATCTGGATCACTCTTTTGAGGTCCGAGTATATTTTGACATGATAACTTACGAACAAAAAAATCTCGCAAATTAAATTGAGAAATTAGTTTCCATAAGTCCAAAGAGAGTATATATAACTCATGCCAACTTTTACCGAAAACTCTTTTCCACAATTTGCTTTGTTAATTTCTAATTAGAAAACTAGAGTCCTGATGCAATAATGGGGAAAAGTGCCAAAAAAGTCATAAACCTTTTGCATTGGTGCCAGTTTAGTCCTAAACCTTTTTTTGGTATCAATTCAGTCTTAAACCTTTTGCATTGGTGCCAATTCAGTCCTAAACCTTTTGTCTTTGTGCCAATTCAATCCTTCCAGTCAATTTTGGCTGGATTTTGCTGACGTGGATGCCGACCGGTCGGCGGCCGGTCACCGGCGCTGACGTGGACAACTTTAATAATATTTTAATATTTTTTGAATTTTTTTTTCTCTCCCCTCCCTCCAGCCGGTCGCCAGCGAGGCTCGCCCACGCCGGCCACTGGTGAGGGCGGCCTCGCGCTGGGCGAGGCCCGACCTCGCGCTGGGCGAGGCCCGACCTCGTGGGATCTGGTGAGGTTGAGCCTCGCCGGCGGCTGGGTGAGGCACGACCTCGCCGGATCTGGCGAGGTCGGGCCTCTCCCAGCGCGAGGCCGCCCTCGCCAGTGGCCGGCGAGGGCAAGCCTCGCCAGTGGTCGGCGTGGGTGAGCCTCAACGGCGCCGACCTCTGGCCGGTTGCCAGTCCGGTGACCGGCTGGAGGGAGGGGAGAGAAAAAAAAAAAGAAAAGAAAAAAAGAAAAAAAATTAATAAAAATTCAAAAAAATATTAAAATATTATTAAAGTTGTCCACGTCAGCGCCGGTGACCGGCCGCCGGCCGGTCGGTGTCCACGTCAGCAAAATCCGGCCAAAATTGACCGGAAGGACTGAATTGGAACAAAGACAAAAGGTTTAGGACTGAATTGGCACCAATGCAAAAAAAGGTTTAAGATTGAATTGGCACCAAAAAAAGGTTTATGACTAAATTGGCACTAATGCAAAAGGTTTAGGACTTTTTTGGCACTTTTCCCTGCAATAATGTAACACCTCAGACGACGTTTCCTCTATTCAGACCTAAAAAAATTGGTACGTATCGGTAGACTTTTGAAAAATTTAAAAAATGTCAAAAAATTGTTGGTAAAAAAGTTTGGCAATCACTCTTTCTCACTTTGAGTTGCTTACTAACGTTTATTTGAATCTTCTTAGATTTACTTGTTATTGAGTTCCCACTTTTATTTGCCTTACTCTAACATTTAAATTTATCACGCTTCTTAAAAATTACTAACTCCAAGTAGAGTGATTGCCAAATTTTCTCCGATCAAGTTATCAACTCTTACTTGAGTTAATTACCAATGATTATTTGATTTTTTATTTGTAAATTACCAAATTGTTTTATCTTTGACAAAAACGCTTCTCTTATATTTGTCCTCTCTTATGTAAGTTCCGGGCCAAATCATTTAGCCGCAAAGATATATGACACTGAAACTTGCTACTTTATCTCAAAGTTTAGAGCGAGAGATGGGCGATCGAAAACATTAGATAGTTTTTCGTTTCACAATTGACATAATATAAATGCATACGCCAAGAGGTATTGCCCCGGGTTGGGGAGATAGAACTAATCCTGAGCTCTTGTATTGAATGTGGGTACATAAAACCCATGACGAAATAAAATAAAAATCTACGCTTGATCATTAAAAAAGTTCAGCAGTTTCAAATGTTTTATTGGAGGCCGATAATTAATTGGAAGCTTGTTATGAACTACATTACTTAAATATAAAATTGGGTCTTTCTGTATTAAAAGCCTGTTCTAATGGAGCACAGAAATACAAGGATGACTTTATGGTAAGGAACATAGGCCTCAGTCTTTTGTTCTCATTTTATTGAAATGGCCTTCGTGAATCAGTTCTTCATATCATTGTTTGAAAGCAAGAAGATCGGAATAATATTGGGCTATCCACCCTTTTATAATTCCAACTTCAGTTTTTCGTTGCATGATCAACCAATCTGGATCAGTTTGATTCCCTGAAATTATATCCAAACAATGGGAACCTGCAAAGCATATACTCACAGATTAAAGATTTCAAGATCCATGGAAAAAATTCTGCAACATGCATCAATGTTGTTCCGTTATTCTCTTTTGTGATTTATGAGTATGTGAGACAAGTTGCAAACAACAAATACGTCGCCTGATTATGTACCTTTCTCTGTATAGACAGCAACGACACTTTCCGAAATGTTCTTCAGGACCCTAAGATTGAAAAAGAGATCAAATTTTAGCGTGATCGAGTAATGTAAAATTTAAAATTTTCAGATTTATGGAGATAAAAATATAATTTTATACCCTGCGCTACTCCAAGGATCTTGAAGTCCATTTGAGAAAATAATGTTGCTCCCGAATCTACGAAGAATTAGCTCTATATCCTGCAAAAGAAAGAAGAAAAGAAATAAAAAAGAAAAGTTGGAAGACGGGGATGGTATGGTTTGCTTTGGATTTTATGCATAGAAACCGGTTTAATTCACTGATAGAAAATTTTTTGTAAGAGTCATCGGAAATCATACATGACCACCATAGTAGGTAGTGACCCAATGCGGTTGAGGCGCAACGCCGAACGAGGCGTTGCATTCATCAATGAAGTCGCTCAAGATGAAAGGGCCTGGTTGGAACATAGAATTGTTTGTGATGCCTATGGGCATTACCATTTCGCTGCATCTCTGCAAGCAAATCTCACTTTTAGTTCAATAGAAGTGTAACTTTTCCTAGACGCTACACAGTTTTACGCGGAAGATTCAAGAATGGGATAGTTCAATTAAAACGGGCTAGACTAATGGGCATGATTGGATCGGCATGAACAGACCATATGAAGATGTGCAGTAATTGTACCTGCCAACTCCAACCCAACGCAGTTTGAGATAAATTAGCGGGAGGATTGACGTAGCATGTGGAGCTCCTGTTAGAGGCAACAACGCCTGCAAATATCTTGCCAAGAATGCCATCTTCAGTAGCACTTGCTTCATCAATGCCGTTGCATATCACTGTCACTGGATATCTCGGTGGATCATTATATTGAGCTGCTCTCACGTACAAATATATCAAGTAGTTCTTCAGCTCATCCCCACTCTCTAAGGGCCTAACACACCCACACACACACACACACACAAAAAGCTGTAGTTAATCTATGATTGATTATGTCTCCTCAGTGAATTAACATTCACAGACATTCTTAAAGACTCAATTTAGCCTCGAAGATCATGAAACATCACACTGAAATGAAGAGTGTGCGGGGCTTAGGTTCGTGATCGCTAAAGGTAAAATGAATAAATTAAACTCCCTTGAATTGATGAATTGGTTGGGGATATTCTGTGGCTTTCCACTCATTTTGGGGATTAAGACACATAATGGATGACACAACAGATCACATACTGGCAAGTCTTGAACATTTTGCTTAAGATTGAACTGCCATTAGGCTCCTGAGCAACTCTATCGATCTCCGACCACGAGTTTGCTATAGTTTGATAGCAAGTCTCACTAGCATCCTGTGCAAAATGACCAAGATTCAACACAGACTACGAAAAAGAAAGAAGTCATATTAAGATTTCAAGAATTACTCATGTGATAAGTTTGTATGTCTATCTCACTTGAGGTGTGGTTTCGAATAACCACACCCTTGAATTCTCTTGACGCTATGCCCTAGGAGCAAGAATATAGGGTTGTTGTGTCAACTAATGGATATTCTTTGGATGCTCGAAAAGGTGCAGCACAACCCATCGTTAAAGCAAAAGAGAGAGAGAAATTACGAGTGTAATTACCTTAAAATCCCTTGTGACCACCGAAAAGTATGCATCCTGCGGGATAATATCATCAAAGTACAATACTGGAGCTGATGAGGCCAGAGCTCCGAGGGCCACATGTGGATATTTCAGCCGGAACCATGAAGCAAGCACTGAAATCCACATTAGCTATTAGAATATAATAACTTAAGATAACAAGACGATATATCTTTTTGGCCTAAAATTTTTTTTGTTGAAAATGAAGGGTAGTAACAACTCATTATTTCACATGATACTTATACTATTGGTAATTTTACATACACATCTCTAAATAGGCATACATAGTTTTCGGGATCCTTTTTTCTGTTTCTAACATATACACACGCGATAAGTTTGGAATGAGATCGAACTTCTTCATGTTATAATTAGAAGGTGACACAAACCATGAAAAAAAATCAAATATTGCACGGTTGATGCTCACAAATATTGACAGGATAGTATACACATTGCACTTACTTCCTCCATATGATCCTCCCACCACGATAACTGGAGATTTACTGGCGTTTCGTTCCTCCTTGACGTGCATGATAATGGTTGCATAATCGGCCAAAGCTTGGGCCGAGCTAAAATACCCGCGAATATTTGCATCATTGAGAGCTTCTTCGAAGCTCATCCCAAGTGGAATTGACTCACCATAATACCGATGCTGTCAAGAAAAATTCCACAAGGAAAGAAGAATTTAATTACTCAGTTAGAATCTTAAATTAGACATAAAGAACGTTCATGCATGGACTCAGAAGGAAATGGTAGAACTCATGTACTACCTCAATGTAAACTAATAAAGCTTCGAATTGAGCAGCGTTTTCGGTCAGAAACCCGACCCTAGTCAGAGCTCCATCGATTGGTGATTCAGCACCGAGGAAAACGAAGATCGGTGCACTAGAATTTGTGCCGCCCCAGTAGTTGGAGTTGATCAAGTATCTTTGTTGGAAGACAGTGTAGCTCTCGGGTCTGTAGTTGAAATGATCAAGCGTTTGGTTGAAGAAGAAGGTTTTGAAGTCGTTTGTTATGGATACTGAAACTGCATGTTTAGGATCTCGGAGGACATCTTCGCGGTGTAGACTCAGCGCTGGAGCGTAAAGTTTCTGTCCAGAAACTGAAGCTGTGGACAAAATGAAGGACACGATCAAAGAGAGCCAAGAAAGAGTCATAGCGTGTAGTGTGTGCAGGAAGGATGTTTACGAAGAATTCCAAACTTAGGAGGACAATGGAGCGAGACACCTTCATAAGCATAAATAAGTATTTGCCGTCCCAGGCCATCGTTTGAAGTGAATTGAGCACTTATTCTAGGAATATTCCTACATGCACCTCGCAAATGTGAAGCCACTCGATCTCAATCGTTTAAATCAATGACTCTTAGGTGCGACCCACTTGATGTAACATAGGTTATATGCTCTGGACTTATTTGCACTAGGAGTACGTTCAATTACATAATCAAGGAAATTCTATATATTTAGCCAAAAGAGAAGTCAATTATTTCGAAGAAAAAAAAAATAGTGGTGGTATAGTATTTTTATTGTAAGTCTTTGCTCGTGAGACATCTTTTGGCTAAAGTGTTTAATGAATTAGTGTAAGTAATTAACAACTGTCGAGGTCATGAAATTTCAAGAACCTCTTGATAAAAAGGACTAGCTCAAGACAAGGAAAACACAAGCCGGCACATGTTTGATTGACTACGGTCTACTGCATCGCTATTTCTAGATTATGAAATTGGATAAGAAAATTCGATGAGGATTCTTTTGTTGATATGGTGATAACTAGACCTGTTAAAATGGGTTATCGATCCATTTTTAACCCATATTTGATGGGCCGAGTTGTTATATGGGTTAGTTATATTCAATGAATGGGTCTAGAATGATAACACCAAAACTCTCTCTTCATTTTCTCTCGCCGACACTCAACTTGCCACTCGCTCACTCCGTGCTCTCATCTTAGTTTGGGTATGTGTTTTCTTAAATTGGGTTAAATATAGAAGTGTTTTTGTAATATGAGTTTGGTCGAGTATTCGTTGGGTATGTGTTGGGTCTAGTATGAGTCATTAGATTTGTATTGTATGGAATTTGGTTAAAACGGATCAATTTGGATTGGACAATTTTTAACCCGACCCAAACCCGACCCGCTCCACCCGTTTGACGAGTCTAGCGATAAGTAATTAGGGATCTCTTTTACTCATTTCTTCGAACAAAACGTCTTAATTCTGTCGCTTGGGAAAAACACGATCGGATGCTTTGTTTATGTCGCTTAGGAGAAACCCGAGGGATGTGTCATATTTTATGTCAATAAATACGCGGGTGGAGTATAGCATCAAATTCGTTTTGCCGAGAGATCAACCTTGAATGTTTGGCTGCAGGTGAGATGGGAGAAATCATTCTTATGAAAATAATTATGTCGTTGTCTTACTTAGTCAAAAAGAAAAATACAGTAATTTAAACATTTCTCTCCCTAGAATTAGACCTTGGAAGTTTCCACTGTTTCTTGATTAAGATTTTACATATAATTGATCCAACAGAATGCAAATACTTATGTGTCCTCTTTAATATTTATCAAGATTCTAGATATAATCGTTAGCGCTTCTCTGGCATAGAAAAGGAGGATGATAAGGATTTTTACAAAAAAAATAAAAATTCTATTCATTGTTCACTTTCTAAAGGAAATGAGCTGATGACGCGATACATAATAATTATCATTAATAAATTTATTCGTCTTTTCCTTTTTTTTGAAATATGCCATATTTTTATAAATAAGATATTTATGGAAAGTTTTTTCTTGTTGATCGGATGAACTAAATAGGTAGATTATCTAGGTAAGCATCGATTACGAGGCGGTGCATGAGAGAAAAACCCACGGGATTCATTGCAATGAATAATGTAATCTTCGAGACCAAATTGCCCAAGATGGTATAAAATTGCCCAATAAAGTTATTACCGACATATTACCGTTATTCTATTCATTACTTTCCCATGTGATATCAATTTCTGGAAGCTCGGAGATCTGCATAGTACGTGGCGAGCCACCTTTTCATAATTTCAACCTCGGTTTTACGTTGCTCGACCAACCAATCTGGATCGCTCTCCTTAGCTCCAAGTATGTCCAAAGTGTGAGATCCTACGTAGAAAATATTTTGCAAATCAAATTGAGAAATTAATTTCTAAGTCCATAAACATTATATAACTCTGGTACAAGACAAAACAGGTCGAGTATATACCTTTGGTCGTGTAGATCGCAACAACGGTGCTAGAAATGTTCTTTAGGACCCTACAATATCATTGATGAATACGAATTATCATTAAGCTTGAATAAGTAAGCGATGTTTTCAAAGAAAATCCACAAGTTTCGATGCTACACGTACCCGCCGCTGCTATAAGGATCTTGAAGTCCATTGGAGAAAATTATGTTGCTAGCGAACCTCTGAAGGATAAGTTTTATGTCCTGCGATTTTTCATCGTCAATGAAGAAATTAATGAATATTTAATATACATTTGGGAATGTTGAGGTCTGAAGCCATTCCTTCTGGTTTTGTACAGAAATTAATCAACAATATGTAGGAAAAACAGCAGCGAAATTTATTTGATTTGCAGAGTGACATACATGACCACCGAAATAGGTAGTGACCCAATGCGGCCGGGGCGCAACCCCGAACTTGCTTTTGCAGGCGTTGCTGAAGCTATTCAGATTGAAAGGTTTTGGTGGAAACATAGTGTTTCTGGTAATGCCTATAGGGATCACCATCTCACTGCACGTCTGCAAAAACCCACGTGAGTTCTCTTGAGTTCAACAAAAGAAGAGGAATATTAACACCGGGTGTACAGTTTTATTTGATTATTTCTCTAAAATAAGTAGACTCAAATAGTGAAAAATTGCACAGATCTCTCTTAGTATATGGCGTAAGAGAGTCAAGCCGCTATGCGTGGAGTGTTCTAGCTCAAATATATTATGGCCTACGTAATCAAACTCAGCTTGATTCTTTTCTGAGTCCCGAGTGTAGTCCGAATAGTTTGAGAACATAATTCACTTCTAAGTACTTTAGTCATCTTTATCCATTTAGACATTAGAGAATCAGATCATATTCCAAAAGAGGGGAGAAAAACATTAGAAGCACACATCTAATACTTTCTTTCCAGCCTCGAGCTCGTTATAATATTTCTATCTTAAACTCAAGCTTACTTTTCTATAATTGCTGATATTGGGTTTGCCTCAAGCCTTAAAACACTTCATTTAGGCGAACTCGAGCCTCAAAAAATAAAGCCCGCCACTATCTGGTGTTAGAGGTGTTAGCATATAATTGAGCAGAGCCAAGCTCGAGTAGTGAATAATCATATCGATTCGACTTGACTCAACTGGACAACCCTCTACTTAATTTTCACTAACAAAGCGATAAAGAGTAAGTGATAAAAATGCAAGTCGCAGATATAGGTCCGAAGTACATATACGCACCTGCCAAGACCACCCCAGAAGAGTTTGAGCAAATGTACCAGAAGCGGGTGAATTGACGTAGCATGTTAAGTTGCCACTGATGGCAACAAGGCCTGCAAAGATTTTCCGAAGAAGGCCGACTCCCGGAGAAGCTCCATTAATGGCGTCGCACATAAGTTTCATGGGTTGTGTGGATGGATCGTTATACTGAGCAGCGCTTGCGTACAGAAATTTCAGGTACTTCTTGAGCTCTGACGAACTTTGCAATGGGCTAAGCAAAAGGAAAATAGTGGAGTTAGAGCTTTTATAATTAAATTCAGCGTCTGTCAAAAAAAGAAAAAAACTACTTCCACCTGCAAGTTTTGAAAGTTTTGCTCAACTTTGTGAGACCATGAGGCTCAGAAGCAACTCTGTCAATTTCTTTCCAGGATCGTCTTATTGTTTGGTGGCAAGAAGAACTACTTTCCTACAAAATCTCGTAGAAAAATTAGTTAGGCAATCAATTTAACATAAAAACGCATGTCAATGGAAACAGAAAAAGAAAAATACAGAGCAAATAGATCTTACCAGAAAGCCTTTTGCAACTACCGAAAAGTATGCGTCCTGAGGAACGATGTCGTCAAAGTAAAGAATGGGCGCAGATGAAGCTAAAGCTCCAAGTGCCACATGAGGATATTTCAGCCGGAACCACGAAGCTAGCACTAAGAATATTGATAATCATAAAAAAGTAAGTACTTAGAGGTTTGACCCGTTTTGTAACTGGGTTTTATAACTGGGTAAGCTATATATGTGTGTGTGTGTCAAGGAAAGAAAGATGTTAGTGAGGATATAGTCACTTACTTCCCCCATATGATCCTCCAAAAACAATTATCGGAGAATGTTTGGCTTTCAATTTCTGCTTCAAGTATATGAGGGTTTCCGCGTAATCGGCGAGCGCTTGGGCGGAGCTGAAATATCCGCGGGTGTCGGCATCACCAATGGCTTTGTCCAATGTCATTCCATATGGGATTGATTCTCCATAAAACCGATGCTACAAGGATAATAAATTTCACAACATAAGTGGACCTTAGTGAGAGCATCAAGTTGAAAGAGTAGTGACACAATTTCAGACATTACTGTTGTTAATTACCTCTATGTATACCAGTAGTGCTCCAAATTTAGGAGCATTATCCGTGAGGAACCCGGCATTAGCTATGTCGCCATCGATCGGCGCTTCTGCACCGAGAAAGGCGAAGATCGGCGCTAGAGAATCTGAGCCGCCCCAGTACTTGGAATTGACCACGTATCTTTGATTGAAGGCAGTGTAACTTTCTGGTCTATAGTTGAAATGATCGAGGGTTTGGTTGTAGAAGAAAGTCACGAAGTCCTTTGCCACCGAAGCTTGAACTGTGCTTGCTGAGTCTTGCAAGAACTCTGGACGGGACATCCTCAGCTTCGGAATTTCGACATCGTCTAAGTTGTGTGCAGTAGCAACAGAAGCTGATAGCAATATCAGAGTGATCCAAAGGCAACAGTGTGAAGACATTCCAGGGTTTGAAGTCATTATTGCCCAAGCACAAGCATGTACGAGACACAACGGTTGATGTTTCTGATGTTTCGATCATTCTGTTTGTTCATCCCTCTATATACCCTTTTTCTTTCGTTTCACATAATGATTCGAAATCATGAGAACGACGAGGCAGCTTGGCTCGTAGTCAATTCGGGTTTCTGGAGGAGACAAAATTGACTAAGAAAGAATCAGATAGGAATCTAACAGTCAAATTCATAACAACTGAGTATGTTATTAGCTTACGTTTTTTTTTTATGTTTGACCTATCTCTAATTCTCTTCTTTCTAATTTTTGCTCTCTCTCTTATATATACAGCGAGGGAGTCGAATCTCACATTTGCGATACTAGCGATCCCAACTCCCTAATCCCTTTACCAGTAGGACCGCATGTCTATTGACATCAGACCTTAGAAATAATAAAGTGGTGTGTAATAATTACGACAATTAGGAATAATGACATGACATGATCACAGATGATGATTAAAGGCCTTTAGTGGTTAGGCCAGTACTCCAAACTTTGGAATTCTATCTTACTAGCCCATAACTTCATGTAAGTTTATAAGGAGGTAAGTGCAAAAACAAGGCTTAAATATCAAAATCGATGTCATTCTATTACTAACGGTTTTCTATAGTTTCAGGACTTCAGGTTTCCAAAAAGCACTAATCACGTCTCGAGCTCGCAACCGGTTGTCGAAAATTAGATTCGGCTCCCAAATGAAATTTTTGATCATATGACATGTCTCATTTTCAAAATCGTTGCCTCGTCAAAATATCCGAACTTAGAATTTTTTCTTTTACAGAGAGAAACATTCAAATTAATCTGCGTATGTTGCATCAACGCCACCTTAGAAAATTCACTCTAATAGGGGACAAAAGAACTTTAAAGTTTGTGGAGTAATCTCACCACGAAGCTTCAAGTGAT